GTCATAGGTGTCTGGCAGCCTGTTTACACAGTGAATCGACAGAGGCCTGGAGTTGTGTGGCAGGTGGGGGATGGAGCTAATAGCAGAGAGAGAGAGTTAATGGCTGGAATGTAACTAAGCCTTGCATTTCTTTTACTGTGAATCACCAGCTCGTTCTTGGACTTCGATCTGGCCATCGGCTGATATTTATTAGCCTCCAGCCTGTCTGTTGGGTGAGCGCACATCACCTCGCTCACATGTCATGATGGTTCACGCCTAGTGGAAGGAATTTCTACAATGCCTGACCACGATGAGTCATGATGGGTAGTTTCAACCTGTTTTGTAATATCTCCAGTCAGTATGCCACATCTGTACAGCTTATAATAACAATAATAATAGTTGCATTTGATATATCACCTTATCACGTTGAAAAATCTCAAAAGTGCTTCACAGAATATACTGTAAAGTGCATTGACTGTGAGTTTGTGTATACAACAGATATTTGGTTCTTCATTCTATTTTCCACTGGAGGAAAACTCAGTTTCAAGAGGAAATTCCCTTCATTTCACGCTCTGAATCTGGCTGAACCTTATTACATTTAAATGACAATCCAGCATATATATATAATATATATTCTAAGCAGTCATTGTGTTCCCCGGCTATTGAGTTGAATGCTCGTGGTCAGGCTCCCTCTGTGGGTGAAGCTCTAGCCAGCCACTGCATTGGAACGCACTGCTTGCATTTAAGGACCTTTTTTGGAATCTGATCCTTTGGAAAGCGGAACCACTTCCCTTTTTTTGAAGCATGTTCCACGGTGCCTCGATTTGCTGCATTAAACCCGACTGAACTGTTTGTTACTGCTAATTCAGGTGGAAGTCTCCATGTTCATACAGATGTGTGTGCACATGCCAACATGGTGGGGGGGGGAAGCAAAGAAGAGAATAGAGAGCGAGGGGAACAGTCGTACAATTGAGGAGAATGGGAGGAGGAGCATCAACAGAAACAAGTTTAGTTCCATCACCTTCACAGCCTGCCAAAAAAATTTTTTTCTTTTTTTGGCTTAAATATAGAATCCCAACCCTCTTTTGTGGCTGAACATTCAGTCTGTGCTGACTGTTTGCTCTGTTAGACTTCTAAAATACAGGATTGGTTCCTTTTTAGCTTCGCATTGCAATTATTCTCCCACAAGGAGAATGCGTTCGCCCACAAAACAGTCGCTGCATTTTACAGTGTATCCTGTGAAGCACCAGGCTCCATTATTCACCAGCGGATAAACGTTTACCATCCTTCTTTGATTAATAATAAAAATAATAATCCTTGCATTTGATATAGCGCTTTTCACGTCTTCGAGATGTCTCAAAGCGCTTCACAGAGTATGCTGTAAAGTGAATTGCCTGTATATTTGTGGGTGAAACGTGGCAATCAAATGCGCACAGCAGGGTCCCTCAAACAGTCGTGACTTGAGTGACCAAATTATTATAGTTTTTTTTTAAGGATTAATAGTCCCGGCTAAGCAATCGTCCAATCAACTAACACCCGGTTCCTACTTACTGCTAGGTAAACAGAGGCCTTTCGACGATTATCAGCCTTTCAATTCCTCCACGGCCTTGTCCCACCCCATCTCGGCAACCTGTGGTCCCGTTCCTCTTTCCAACTCCCTCTGCTCTACCAACTCAGGCCTGCTTCATGTTTCCCCCCCACCCCCTCTGTCCCACTATTGGTTGGTGATCTCTAGTCCTGTTCCTCTCTGGAACTCTCTCATCCTTCCAGCTCACTCCCTCCCTTTTTCAAAACTTGTCTTTAAAAACCTATGTCTTTGACTGTGTCTGCGGTCCCCTCCCATTCCCTGTCTGCCTCGGGAGTCCTCCCGAAGTGAAAGGCTCTATGCAAATGTAATTTTGTTGTTGTTGTCTGGCCTCCGCATGTCTAAAGTGCAATGAGGCATTCTCTTGTGTGACCAGCACTACTATATAAATGCAAATTATCTTCATGCTTAATCATCTCTTACCTATTCTAACTTCCGATATTTCAGCTCCCACCCTGTGATTTCATGGCAGATTTCGTAGCTGTTTTCATGATGTGGTGGGTGCCAGTCACTACATTAAACTTGCTTATCTACCTCTCCACCACTACAATCACACACACCTGACGTTGAACTGTTTCCACACAAATTGCAGTTAAAATGACATTTCTATGTTTAGAGCCTGATATTTGAGCGAGGCACTTGAGGTGCAAAACAAAGGATGCTGCTGATTGAGGAGACGCCTGAGGCTATTTGCCATCATGTGATGTGACTTGCTGTACTACCCAGTTTAAAGGAAACGTCTTGTTCCTATATTCAAGCCCTTCTGATCTAGCAGAACTAGTAGCTACCCTTGTTTACCACAGATTCAAAGTTTGTAGAATCTTACAGCACAAAAGGAGGCCATTCGGCCCATCGTGCCTGTGTAAGTAGGAACCCGGTTGTTAGTCAATTGGCGGATTGCTTTCCAGAAGTAATAAGCCCTCCCCCAAAAATATATATAATTTGGTCACTATATCCACAACTATTTATAGGAAGGACACTGCTGTGTGCAATTGGCTGCCGGTTTCGCCCACAAAATATACAGTCAATTCACTGAGACGTCTCAACGATGTGATAAGGCACTATATCAAATGCAACGATTATTACTGGGGAGATGAACAGGCACTGGGGAGTGAAAGGATTTATTGGTGAGGACCTTGAAATCAATCCGCTTAGAGGTGGGCAGCCAGGAACATAAGTCATGTCATGCGCCACTAGTTCAAATTGAATAGAAAATGACTTCAGACAAATGTCTTTTCCGTATCCTGAACCAATTCCCTATCTGGAATTGCCAGATTTGAGAAAAGCTGCTCGATGGGGAGTGTTTGAGCATCAGTTGTGTCCTGAGGCGTGAAGGATGATGAAATAAATTGCACAGAAGGTTGTGCAGCTCACACTATCCGATGGCTGTTTGAGTAAATCTGACTGGATCCAATCTCCAGACTCAAGTGAAGCTTCTAAATGGAGCCTTGCTCTTTCTGAGTTCTACCCTCAATTGGATTACAGTCTTGTAATTCACTTCCAGGTAAATGTTATCCCTTAATGGTGTCATCTGAACCCAGCGATCACATTACAACCTCAATCACTTCCTGCCACTGCCAGATTTTGTTTTCTTACATTTTCTTTTCCATTTTTCCTCTGGTAAACTTAAGTGATGCTTTGTGATGGCATTACAATGCATCTGGGAGATGACTTAACCGTATCTAGGGAAACAAGGGTAGATAACTGAAGGAAACGTTTGTTTTAAAATCCGTCCACACGAATGGTAATGGAATAGCTGTTCACTCTGTTAAAAGGTGGTTATTGAACTGCGTGGAGTGCTGTTTCCAAAGCACTTTGAGGGGTGAGATATGTGGCTTAGTCTGTGCATTTTGCAGGATTATTTTGGCCACCATTATACAGTCAATTCACTTTACAGTATATTCTGTGAAACCCTTTGAGATGTCTTGACGACATGATGAGATGCTATATCAAATGCAAGGTTTATTATTATACACATTGGTACAATCTCATGCTGTTTCCCTTTTTCGCATTAGCTTTTTTCAGAAAACACTGCCTGAAAGTCACAAGAGAGGAGGTGAACAGACAGACAGTTCAGATTTAATTTTACACAGACCGGTGAATATGTGGAGTCCAGGGAGTCGCATTGCGTTGTCAAATTCAAGAGGGAATTAGATAGCTGTTGGGCAAAGAATTCAATTGCGAGGTAGGAGAGTAGTGCAGGATGATTTCATATGTTTATTTGTGAGTGGTTAGATGGATCGCAGTGTGTTATGATCCTGTATATTCTTGTTCTAGCTTCCAGCGACTGCTCAGGTGCTTCTCTAGACATGTTGGTTGTGACAGCTGTAAACCTTGACCAGACACGGCTGCAGTGCTAAAGGCAGTGAGGAATCCAGTACATGTTCTATAGGTCCGGACATGCTTAGAACAGGCTCCTCAGGACATGCAGCAAGCTTGTGAGGAGCAGATAGCAACTAATTTTTGCCAGGATTTTGCATTTGGCCTGTTTGGGTTATGTGACTGGTTTGTATCGTCAGCGCTAGGGAAAACAAAAATTTGGTTGCTTAATCTACGACTGCTTGTGCGCAATTGGCTGCCGAGTTGCTCCCAGCCAACAATCCCCAGATAAAATCGGTCCCTCACTTCATGGCAGTTTGTGGGACATTGATATGCGCAAATTGACTGCTGCATTCGCCTACAAATACACAATCACTTACAGTAAATCCTGAGAATAGCTGAGCCATCTGCCTGACATGAAAGGCACTTTGCATTCCAAATGTAAGGATGATTATAATTATCATCTGCTCTGTAGTTTGCCTAACTGGGATTAGCTATTTAGCTGCAAAATTAAGAACTGCTACCAAATCTCACCTGCAGTTGGGGTGAGGCTAAAATGATTTGACTTCTGATCCTTCCAGTCAACTTCAAGGGAGCATTCTATCCTATTAGCGTTGGCTGGATTTGGACATTGGCTCAATGTCTGGTGTAGGATAGATTACTGACCAGAAATTTTTCTGGTCATCTGGGTGTCTTGACGCATCACCGAGCTTAAGAGTCGCCAAACCAAACTGAGAATTCCATGCATCCCACTTACACATGGAAATCTCCGAGATAGATTGTTGGAATGGAATATACACTCTCTCCCTGGAGGGATGCATCCTGCTTGGAAAATATTAGGCGCAGGTTGGCAAGAGCCGAGACTTGGGGGAGCCCGGAGTGTACGTTGGGGTAACTGCTGAAGTCTAACTAGCTAAAACTGCATAGCACTGTCTGGCAAACTTTCCCACTGCTTGTCCAGTGAGCACCATCCTATCTAATAGGGCTTTGGCTTGCAGGGTTAACAGGAGTTGAGTGGGATGAATCCTTGCCCCCAGAGTGCGTCCTAGGCTAATTGTTACCAGGGAGACTTTGCGGTAAGAGTACTGACCTCGTATTCCTCTCTTTCTCTACACAGACGGGTCGGATTGATAAGACCTATCCAACAGTATGTGGACACACGGCACCGGTGCTTGACATTAACTGGTGCCCGCACAATGACTTCATTATTGCCAGTGGATCAGAGGATTGCTTCGTCAAGGTGAGTCAACCATTCAAATCTCGCACTCAGAGCTACCTCTGCTCTACACGCCTCTCTTTACCAGCAGTAAGTAGGAACCCGGTTGTTAGTTGATTATCAGATCACTTTTCCGGGGGAATAATCCCTCCCCAAAGAATTGGACTCTCAATCCACAATCGTTTTTTGGAGCACTGCTGTGTGCAATTGGCTGCTGCGTTTCGCCCACGAAATGCACAGTCAATTCACTTCACAGTATATTCTGTGAAGCGCTTTGAGACGTCTCAATGACGTGATAAGGCGCTGTAACAAATGCATTGATTATTATTATTCCCCAGTTTCCTGATTTTCGTTCCAGTTTGACTCAGTCCTCGGTGTCCGAAAGCCTGCGATACAAGAGAGCTGCGTTAGAGATGTGCGTTGGGTGAATTGGCATGCGTTATCCACCCACTAAACAGCAGTGTCGTAGTGCTCGAAATGTTAGTACATCTGGTATCTGTTGTAATTAACCTCATTTGTGCATATAAATAGTCATCAAGCCTGTTAATTAGACCTATGTTTTCCCAATTGGTACAGTAACTATCGTAGAATCATAGGGATTTGATTCATGCCTATGTCAAGTGCTTTCTGCCCCTTCCTTACTCTCGCCCTGTGGCTCGATGCGCACGTCAAATAGCAATGACATTTGGTTCACAGTATGTCTCTCTCTGATGTGTCCATTTCCATTTGATGGAGGCACAAACTGTTGCTGAGTTCAGTGCCTATGCGCTTAGCCTGCCTGCCTCTGGGGAGCAATGAGCACCACAGGAGACGGAAGAGAATGTTTGTTTCAAATCCTAAATTGACAAGTCTTGTGTAAATACAACTCCCAGTCTGCAACCTGCTCCCTTCCATCATTTCATTCCGCTGTGTTTCCATCTCAATTCTTTCTCCGTTATAAGGAGAGCGTTACTTTGGGCGGTGGGAATGGTTATTCTTGGAATCAACTCGTGCTCTTGAGGTGATTTATTGCAACGACTTGCATTTATATAAGCGCCCTCCACTTACATGAGCATGTCGCCTGTATTTACGCGTAGGACAGTGAAGTTGGAAATAATTCCCAGGCCACATGAAGTTATCCGCAGGGCCAGATGCGAGCCACCAGTTGGACTTAAATCACCACAAGTAACCTTTTAGCTTTCGATGGTGCCGTGCTTAATCTTCCACCTTGGAGTAGCTCTGTTTCTAAGTCCGAAACCTTTTCATCCCCGAACCACTTCAACTTTTGGGACACACTGAGCATTAAATACCTCTCCCCATTGCGTACTCAGCAGACAAGCAAAAACTTGTCTGAAAGGCGATTCACACATACCTCTGCCCTCATTCCTCCACGCCCTTCCTTGCAAGTTGCATTCGGCTCTGAGTCAGCTTCTGACATCAGAATCTTAAAGGCTTTAAAACCTGTAGCTCAGTAATAATAATAATAATCCTGGCATTTGATATAGCGCCTTATCACGTTGTTGAGCCGTCTCAAAGCGCTTCACAGAATATATTGTTAAGTAAATTGACTGTAATTTGTGGCAAAAACCAGGAGCCAATTGCGCACAGCAGCGTCCCACAAACAGTCGTGGATCGCGAGGCCACATGTGTTTATTCACTGGACATCAAGTTTCAGCCGCAATGAAATGCAACTCGTAAGGCCCATAGTTAAGGGTTGAGGGAACAGTTAGGCATCGGAATCTCTCACCCTGAACCCCCCCTCCCCACTGCTCCCCCAAGAACCCAGCATTACCCAGCTTGCTAACCCCTGGGAGCACTCCTGTGCCCCAGCTGAACACCATGCATTGCTCGCAGACGGATGCTGAGAGGAGTTGCCTGCCTGAAGCTCTGCTGCTGTGCGGATGGGAATATGTTTCCCATTGTGTCACCAGCCAGTTTCATCACTCAACAGGAATTCTGCTGCTTTAAACACTAGCACATGTTCAGTTTGCGGTGTCCACTGCAGAGCCTTTAACACTGTGCTGCCCGGTAACCCTTCACGCCCTGCCACCTCCCTACCTTTCTGATCCACCCTCCCCACTCCACTCCCCGCTGCCTCCGCTCGGCTGGCTCTGGCCTCCTGCTTGCCCACTGCTCCCTTGTCCTCTCCACTCCACCATCGGCAGCCGTGCTTATTACAAAACTTGCTTTTATGTAGCGACCTCCATGAGGGCATGTCGCCTGTATTTATGCGTGGGATAATGAGGTTGGAGATAATTCACATGCCACGGGAAAATTATCCCCAGTCGGGAGCTGGGGAGGCCTCGTTTGGTGAGATGCAATTTTTTGGTGTGGAATCCATTTTAAAATTGTAATCTTTGGGTCAGCATTGAGTATAAGTGAATGGAGCGTGTCTGCCTGCCTGCCCGACAAGCTGAGAACATACTGAACGGAGACTAAATTCCCAGCCTCGAGGAGCTGGGTGTTTTGACCGCAACAGAGATCAGTAGGGTTGTGGGGGGTTGGGGGGCGTGGGGCCATTTGGATCTGTGGTTAAACTGCCGAAAGAAATTCACACTATCGACGTCTACAGTGGCCCCCGACCGGCAGGACGGGATGCCTGTGGTCAAGTGGTGAGAAGGGAGGAGATTTTTTTGCGTTGAATTCTCCCAGTCACTACAGTTGAGTCCCTCCCGGGCTACTGTGATTGCTGTATCACCCGTGTACGGAAAGGTTGGCAATGAGGGCCTCTCCTGGCGGACACTTGGAGCTGCAGCGAGAAACACGGCTCCAGGGTTTGGAAAGCGTTTATTACCTTCATTAACAATAATGTAATAACAATCCTCGCGTTTGATAAGAGCGTCGTCGAGACGCCTCAGAGTGCACCACAGAATATATTGTAAAGTGGGTTGACTGTATTTTAAGCTTGCTTTTAAACGTTTATTTCGATAAGTATTTTAAACGTTCGCTTGAACCATCCCAACACGACTGCAGCTATGAACTTTTTTAAAGAAAATATTGCCCAGTTACATTTCCTACTCTTTTTTCCCCCCCCCCCCATTTGGCATTCGCCTCTGCTCCCGAGCCTAGCTTTGTCACGCTGAGTGGAGTCCCGGAGTGTAGTGGTCCTGTAAACAGTAAATCAAATCAAGTTTCAGGGAGGTAGAGGAACGAGGTGGGAGAGAGGCTTTCTGTCTTTACGTCCTTGTGCCTTTAGGCAGTCCACTCTGGTGTCCTGGATTTACAGGTTGGCTTGTTTTAGGATGAGATTCAGGACCTATAACGTCTTAGTTAGAGAACTCGCCTTGCAAGCAAGAGGATCGGGGTTCGATTCCCAGGCAGGGCTAAACCTTAGGCAGGTTTCGTTACTCCAGGCGCATCTGTTTCCCCAGCAGTAAGTAGGAACCCGGGTTGTTAGTCGATTGGAGGATTGCTTTCCGCAGGTAATAATCCCTCAAAAAAAATAATGTGGTCGCTCAATCCACGCCTCTTTGTAGGACACTGCTGTGTGCAATTAGCTGCTGCATTTCACCCACAAAATAGACAACTCAATCCACTTCACAATATATCCTGTGAAATGCTTTGAGACGCCTTAACGAGGTGATACGGCTCTATATCAAATGCAAGGATTATTATTAATATTATCTGTTATACTAATCCTCTTACTCGTAATTCTTGTATTCGATATAGCCATCCACGTCAGGAAGGCGTCCCAAGGCGCTTCACAGGATATACTGACGTACCTGAGGCTTCGTCGCACTCGTCTGATCTTTACCCCTTTCCCACTGTTAGGTCTGGCAGATCCCGGAGAATGGCCTCACTGTTCCTCTCACAGAACCAGTCGTTACCTTGGAGGGACATTGCAAGAAGGTTGGAATTGTATCTTGGCATCCGACTGCTCGCAATGTGCTACTGAGCGCAGGTAAGTGGCTGGATCTCTCGCAGAGCATAAGCGCTGAGTGGGGTGGGGGCGGGGAGGCGATTGCAAACTGGGACGTTGTGGGGAGGGCAGCAGCGGAGAAGGACGTGGTCATCACGAGGGTGCTGTCATAGGGATAGGAGTCGGCCATTCAGCCCCTCCGGCCTGTTCCGCACCTTCCATTAGATCATGGCTGTTCTGACAATAACAACAAATTACCTTTGTGCAGAGCCTTGCAGTGGGTGAGGGATGGGGTGGAGGGGTGAGAGAAGTCACGTAGATCTCTGACTGCGGGAGGGGTGAGGGTGTAGAGTGTGGGGCACATTGTCTGTGGCAGACCGAGGTGGTAACATGCGAGCAGGGCGCTGACTGAGCTGGGTCCTTTGTCATTTTGTTTTTTAGCGTGTGAAAGTATCATGATCTGGAACGTGGGGACTGGCGAGGCTTTGCTGGAGCTCAACGACATGCACAACGAAACGATCTACAGCATATCCTGGAACCGAGACGGGAGCCTATTCTGCACCGCATCCAAGGACAAGAAATTGCGTTTGATTGATCCACGGAATGGGAGGATCATTTTAGTGAGTGCTTCCTTCCCGCCAGTCGAGTCCCTCGCGGCTCTTGTCTTTTTCTCGAAATAATAATTATTTTGGTCACTCAGTCCATGACCGTCTGTGGGGCGCTGCTATGCGCGCTCGGCTGCCGCGTTTCGCCCACAAAATATGCAGTCGAACCGCTTTACAGTGTGTCCTGTGAAGCGCTTTGAGATGTCTTGAAGATGTGATAAGGCGCTATACCGAATACAAGAATTATTATTATTAATATTCCTCCTGCGGGGAGGAATGCTTTCCTTGGTTTTCCTGACTACATTTTTTTAAATCTATTCCTCTTCCCTCCCCCCGTGGCCGGCTGATTCCAGGAAAAGGACAAACCTCATGAAGGGGCTCGGCCCATCAGAGCCATCTTCCTCGCGGACGGCAAGATCTTCACCACCGGCTTCAGCCGTATGAGTGAGCGGCAGCTCGCCCTGTGGAACCCAGTGAGTGAGAGCGAGTGAATGGGCAAGTGGGGGGGTGGGCAACCTCCCGATGCGGGGGTGGGGGGGAGCGAATATGGGCTCCGAGTTCCATGACAGATTTCTATACAATTGGATTCCCAGAGCGTAGTAGTTAGAGCGTTCCCCTCGCAAACGAGAGGGCCTGGGTTCAATTCCCAGGTGGGGTGTAACCTTAGGCGAGTTTCCTTACTCCACACACCTCTGTTTATCAAGCAGTAAGGAGAAACCCGGTTCTTAATCGATTGGCGGATCGCTTTCCGGGGGTTAATAATCCCTTTAAAAAATCGATAAATAAATCGGTCACTCAGTCCACGATTGTGGGAAACCGCTGTGCGCAATGGGCTGCCGTGTTTTGCCCACAAAGCGCACAGTTGATCCGTTTTGCACAAGGGTTCCGTGAAGCGCTTTGAGATGCACACACCAATGGGGAGCAAATTAGAAAGAAGAATTGGATATAAAACATTTTTTATTTTACAAGAAAAGACCGGCTTTGATTTGCAGAAGAATTTTTTTTAACAAAATGTTACATCCCAATTACAGACCTTCACTGCATTTTTTTCTCTCTCTCCCCCTTCCCCCCCCCCACCCCTCTGCCATTTACCAGGAAAACATGGACGAACCGATAGCTTTGCAGGAGATGGACTCGAGTAGTGGAGTGCTATTGCCATTCTACGATGCAGACACGAACATAATTTACTTGTGTGGAAAGGTAAGAGTTCTTCCAGTATTTCAGTGCATAATGTGCCTTACACCTCATGTACCTTTTGTGTCGCATAAACTGGCGATCTGCAATCACCTCTCTTTCCCCCACTCCCGTCCCCCATCACCCCACACACACGCGCACACACAAATCCCTCTTTCAATCATGCAGTGTATTGGTTAGAGCAGGATCCAGTTTCGATTCCCAGGCAGAGGGCGAAACCTTGGGCAAGTTTCCTTACTCCACACAGAGCCTAATAATAATCCCTCCAAAACCCAAAAACAATAATAAATTGGTCATTTTCAATCTACGACTGTTTGTGGGACATTGCTGTGCGCAATTGGCTGCCGCGTTCGCCCACAAATATACAGTCACTTCACTTTACAGTGTGTTCTGTGAAGCGCTTTGGGACGTCCTCCCGACGTGAAAAGCGCTATATCAAATGCAAGGATTATTATTATTATTATTATTTAAGACGTCTCAGTGACGTGATAAGGCGCTGTATCAAATGCAAGGATTATTATTATTATATCCCCACAACGTCCCCCTTGCACTTGAGGAGGAGGTCTCAAAGTTGTCCTGCAAGGTGTAGTGACTGTATTTTGCAGGCAAACGCGGCAGCTAATTTCAGCCACAAAACCCAACAAAGGTGTCCACCCACAACTGGCACCTTTCACTTTCATCGGGTGCAGTACTGGTTGTGTCCACCTGGAGGCAGTGGCGCCGGGTGCCATAAAGCCTGGCGGGCGCCACGCCGCCCTCTCGTGGCACTCGGCGGTACCGCAGCGCCGACATCCAAATTCCAGGAGAATTCTAATTATTTTTTTTTTATGGACACACAAACGCCCACACACTCACACCCACCGCGCGCACAAAACACACTGCTAGTCACAGAATGTTCTGCTCCAGTGAGGACTTCTGTGAGCCTCTCGCCCTGAAAATAGACAGCTTACGAATTGTTGAACCGCAGCCCATTTTTAGGAGAGAGAAAAGGTTTTGTGCGCGGAATCCCGGCAGCGCTTGCTGTTCAGGAGCAAACCTCCACTGTACATATTCCTGGGATAATTGCTGTCCGCCGACCAAGTGTTGGAACTAATGATATTGGGAGGTCGCCATCAGGGTGACTTTGTCTTAAAACGTACTTTGAATGGTCGCTCAGCTTGAAACTGTTGTAAAGTTTGGGACATGACATGCGACTGCCAGGATAGGGAAGGGCCAGTGGAAGGGCGAACTGGATGGACCTCGGTCTTCTTTCGCCAGCAAATTCTTATGTTATCTTCTCAGTGAGCGAGGTATAGGGGATCTCCTCCTAACAATAATAATAATTGCATTTCACACAGACAAGACACACAGCGTCTTTCAAGTCGGGAGCACATCTCAAAGTGCTTCACGGGATTTGCTGTAAAATGGAGTGAATTTTTTTTTTTTGCAGATAAGGGCAGAAGCTAAATTTGCGCACAGCGATGTCCAGCCAACAAACAGTCACCAGCCATTTCAGAGAAAGGCTCATGCGTTCCTGTTTCTTGTAACTGAAACGGACTCTGTTTAATGCATCGTTGCAGGTTTCTGCTGAGCCAGTGGGTCTCGTTCACAGAGCAGAGCTTGCTGGTGGACAGGGAATCTCACACTGTGATACAGAGACCAATAGCGTAGTGTTTAGTGTGCTCGCCTTGCAAGAGAGAGGCTCAGGAACAAAATGTGGATCGCCAGATCTGTGTGTAATTAGAATCTTAGCAATCTACAGCACAGAAGGAGACCATTCGGCCCATCGTGCCTGTGCCAGCTCTTTGAAAGCTATCCAACTAGTCCCACTCCCCAGCTCTTACCCTCACAGCCCTTCAAATTTTTCCTTTTCACGTACCTATCTAATTCCCTTTTGAAAGCTATTACATTGTCGCAAGTTTCCCTACATTTGTTCCAGGTTCAATTTCCAAGTTCATTCCGCTTTTCTGTTTTAACTTCTCAATAAAATGATTCATAACCGATCTGTACTCTCTGCACTGAGATCACACACACACTCACTCATTCAAACTCAACCATCTTTTTGTGTTGTCAAACCTACCTTTATCAGTTCAGAATTCAGAAAGAAAATGACATTTAAATCACGGCCGGCCAGCGAGCTGGGTCCTATCCTTACCTGGTATCCCCATGACCACTGTCGGTGCATGGGAGAGGGTGGGGTAAGTTAGCGCTGGTCAGTGATTTCTTGTCTGGCATTCAGGCCATTAGGAATCCTACCAGCTGTCCTGAGTCAGCACAGGCTCGGGCTGGAAGGTGTGAAGGGAGCCACTGAGCTGAATGTTGCCCTTCTGGTCCTCGCCATTGCCCAGCAGTGGTGCTTCTGTTCCCAGCTCAGAGCTGCTGTACGAAGCTGCCGGGGCTCCAGGCCTCTCTGTAACCGCTGTCCTTCTCCGCACAGGGTGACAGCAGCATCCGCTACTTTGAGATCAGCGACGAGGCCCCGTACGTGCACTACCTGAACACCTTCTCCACCAAGGAGCCCCAGCGGGGCATGGGCTATATGCCAAAGCGAGGCCTGGAAGTTGGCAAGTGCGAGATTGCCAGGTGAGGGCAGCAACAACCAGTTATATTTAACCAATGCCTTTCAGGTCAAGAGAACGACCCAAAGCACTGGACAGTCCAGGATGTGAATCTGAGCTGGGGGCTGGGATCAGGAGGGGTGGAGGGTAGGAGGTTGTTGCCAGGAGGGTGACCGAAAGTGTGGTCAAAGAGGGCCTTGAAGGAGGCAAGGGAGGGGGCGAGGCCAAGAGACTGGGATGGAGTTCCAAAGGGTGGGGAAAGGGAGACTGAAGGCCCGACCGTCACAGAGGATTGACTGTATTCCGATAATCCATTGTCTAAATGTGTCTTTTATTTTATTTGTAGGTTTTTTAAACTTCATGAAAGGAAATGCGAGCCCATCACCATGATTGTGCCAAGGAAGGTGAGTGAATGCTATCTGTCTCTCTCTCTCTCTCTCTCTCAACAAACTCTCTACTCCACCACCTGGAGGTTTCCTTACTCCACACGCCTCTGTTTTCTTGCCGGGGAGTAAGTAGGAACCCAGTTGTTAGTTGATTGCCGGATCGCATTCCGGAGGTAATAATCCCTTCAAAAGATAATAAGAATTTGGTCACTCAATCCACGACTGTTTGTGGAACACTGCTGGGCGTAATTGGCTACCGCGTTTCGTCTACAAAATATAGTCACTACACAGTATATTCTGTGATGCGCTTTGAGACATCTCAATGGCGTGATAAGGCGCTATATCAAATTGCAAGGATTATTATTGATATAGATAGAAATTGAATAGAAATGGATTGGGGCTGTGTGGGAGGTTACAGCCAAGTTGATCCCCACCGGTGGTGGTGGTGGTTGTTCCCAAGTTGATTCCCGTCTGTGCTCTGTTCCCAGTCGGACCTATTCCAAGATGACCTGTACCCCGACACAGTGGGGCTGGAGGCAGCGATCGAAGCAGACGAGTGGCTTGACGGGAAAAACGCAGAGCCCATCCTGATCTCCCTTAAACCCGGCTCCGTCCCCACCAAAACCCGGGAAGTCCGAGTCAAGCAGAACATTTTAGATAAGCCCTTGCTGATCAAGAAAACTGACAAGGGCATTGCCCCGATCAAGACTAGTTCCAACACAGTAAGTGCCTCCGCTTCGTATCTCGCGGCTCCACATGTGGGATGCTGCTGTTCGCAATTGGCTGCCGCGTTTCGCTGGCAAACTACACAGTCACTCCACTTCACAATATATCCTGTGAAGCGCTTTGAGCCGTGATGAGGATCTGTATCAAACGCGAGGAATGATTAGTAGGTATTGTTATAATATTGCATTTGACGAACAGAGGTCAATATTTTTTTTCTCTCTCTCTTTCGTCTGCCAGTCTCCCGAATTCAAGGTGGAGGAGTTATTGGACGAGATCAGGACTCTGAAGGCCACCATAGCTACCCAAGATCAGCGGATTGCCAACCTCGAGGAGCAGATGGCCAAGGTTGTCATCTGCGACGTGAAGAACACTGTGTCCCCTGGGGCGATGCAGTGACTGTGTCTGGATTCTCGCCCTTGCGGCCAGCAGAGCAGCTCAGCACTGCACCCTCGTTCGTTCGTTCATTCTGCCATTGGTGAAAAAAAACCTTCAGCATTCCAATATCAACTATCAAATCACCCTTCCCAACTCTCACCAGCCTTTGTCACAATTCTGCATTAAACTGCTTTTTTTTTTTAGATTCTCTCCCCACACCCCCCCCCTTCCCAACCTATCCCAAAATTTTTAACAGGAGCGGGGAAGATGATACTCCTTCCCCTATACTTCCCATGTTGAGAGCATTACAGTTTTTTTTATTATTCCTAATTCCAGTCCCTCTCCATATATAATGGTGTATTCTACTCAAATGCGAGAGTAATTTCCGGGTCTATGGGCTCTCCTACGCATATTCTCTCTCTTCCTCTCTCTCTCCTCTCTCTCTCTCTCTCTCTCTCTCTCATACTTTTTCCCCTGAGCTCTCTTGCACTTTCTCGCTCATTCTTGTGCTCTTTCTCTCTCTCGTATGCTGGTACCTGTTTTTAAAGTAACTACACATTCCACATACAAGTGTATAGGACCATTGAACGCTTGATCAGTTCCGCTCTTATAGAGCAAACCAAATGGTGATCTGTCGTTAAAATATACTTCCAATTACAAAGATAAAATGTTGATTATAAAACCTCTCTGGGTGTGCGTGTGTGAGCTTTATTTAATAGGTGTACGCCCTGAAGAGAATTGCAATCTAAGTAGGAACCTGGTTGGCCGATCAGCAGATCGTTTTTCCCTTCATAAATCAATAAAAATAATAATAATTTGGTCACTCAATCCACGACTGTTTGTGAGATATTGCTGTGCACAATAGGCTGCTGTGTTTTGCCTACAAAATACAGTGAATTTGTTTTATGGTATATTCCGTGACGTGTTTTGAGATGTCTTGAACACATGATAAGGCGCTATATCAAATACAAGGATTATTCTCATCAGCTCTAGAGGCGGGAGCTACTTTGGGCTGGTCTGTATATTGCCTTTGTTCTGCTTAATTTTCCCTTTCACGCTGCATTTATTGTCTTATGTTGATGTGTGCTTGAATGTTAAATGACGACATGATCAATTGCTCATGACTGCAAAGAAAGAGCTGATAAAAGCACAGGCTGGTTTGGGCTCAATAAGAGGATCTGAACTTTTTGAGTTCTCTGTACGTTAAACAATCCGATTCGGATTTCAGGATTCTCTTCTCCTCCCTGTCTGTGGTTTGAGTTAACATGAGGAAAGCACATGACATGAACACACTGTACCAGAATACAACTTTTGGTTAGTCCGTCTGGTCTCAAAGTAGTTTGCTTTAGGGAAAAAAAAATCTTACACCACTGTCTCATATCCTTCAGTGGAATTCTCAGCAACGAGCTCTGTGCGAATCCCTCTCGAATATGGCTGACCCACTTGTCTTTCCCTCCCTGGGTGGAAATATTCACTGCATGTGCATGAAGTAATTAAATCTCAGCTGTCTGGATACTTTCCCACTTGTCAGCTGGCATAGGGACAGTATTGACTGCAAGGATTAACACTTCTAGGTCAGAGGGTTGTGGGTTCGAGCCCCACACAGAAACTTCAATTTGGGGTCTACGTTGATATTCCAAGGCAGAGCCAGGTGAAGGCACAGAATATTTTGCGAAGTGAATTGACTGTGTATTTGCGGGCGAAACGCGGCAGCCAATTGCGCACAGCGGCGTCCCCACAAACAGTCGTAGATTGAGTGATCAAATTATTAATTTTTTTTGAGGGATAACTACCCCTGCGAAGCGATCCGCCAATCGACTGACAACCAGGTTCCTACTTACTGCTGGGTAAACACAGACGTGTGGAGTCAGGAAACCTGCCTAAGGTTTCGCTCCGCCCGGGAATCGAACCCGGGTCTTCGAGCTCGCGAGGCGAGTGCTCTAACCACTGTACTACAGGACTACAGCAATAGGGACGAGGGCTAAAGGTGGTTTGCTCCGGGCAAAGCAAGGAATCTAACTCTTGTGTTTTGAGAAACAATCTCCTTGCGCAAGGATATTTTACTAACGCTGTGTGTGTGACAGTTTTGGAAAGCCGGTAGCATGACGGCCAGGCAAGTTACACAACAGCCCTGCCCTGTGGAGATCGATCGCTCAGTTGCAAAACTTCCTGTGAAATTTCTCAGGGACAAAATTTGCTGTTTGTTGATCGGATTGCTTCCACGTACATTTTTATTGAAGGCGTCATAACTCCCTCTCTTCAGCCTCAAATCTATTTCCGTGTTGGGTTCGGTACTTTGGGTTTCCAGTTGGAGTAATGATAATAATCATTGCATTTGATAAAGCACTTGAGGTCTCAAAGCGCTTCGCAGAATATACTGCAAAGTGGATTGAATTGTGCAGTTTGTGGGCGAAACACGGCAGCCAATTGCACACAGCAGCGTCCCCACAAACAGTCATGGATTGAAGTGACTATTATTTTTTTGAGGGATTATTATCAGGCATGTGGAGTAAGGAAGCTTCCCCTGCCGGGAATCTATATTATCTATTGGAATATATATAATCTGTACGCAATTGGCTGCCGCGTTTTGCCTACAAAATATACTACAATGTATTCTGTGAAGCCCTTTGAGACGTCTCAGCGAGTGATAAGGCGCTGCATCAAACGCAAGGATTATTATTATATAATGGGAGTGAATGGGGAGGGTTTTGTTCCATTGGGATCCAATGAAAGTGAATTGGACATTGATTGGTTTATTGGGATCTTCTATATATTGGGAATGAATTGGAAGGTGTTGGTCGAATGGGGGTGAAGGCAATGGTGACTGACCTGTTGAGATTCCATGCTCTGGTCAGTGACCTGTTAACTGTACAGGGTGTCCACAAAGTCCTGTTACCCCCCCCCCCCCATGTGTGCGTGTTTTTTTACACAGTGCACTGAGCGACCAGCAACTGAGCCACATGGAAGAAGCGAGTCTCGTATCGCTGGTTTATAATGGGGGGAATGCGGTAACAGGACTTTGTGGACACCCCATACAGTAACTTGTCAGACAGTCCCATTGTATCCCGTGGTGTCCTCACCTTGTCCCATCACAAGGCTAATCTGTCTGACCATTTGTTTGCTCTTTGGCTGCGGCAGAATTTGTGTTTCGCCCCCAAAATACACAGCCGATTGACTTTATGGTACAGAGCACGGCTCAAAGTGCTTCACGAGAAATACTGTAAATTGGGATCAGGCGCTCTATCAAATGCAAGGATTATTATTATTATTATTATTATAACAAATAAATAAAATGGCCACAAATCAAGCGGTGCGGTGGGACCCAGCAGCTGAGCAGAATTTTAGGACCTACAAACTAAACCAAAGCCATTTCTGCATTCTGTAGTTAGCGGTGCGTTCTTCCTGTTATCGAAATGAGAAAGGAAAAGTGAGGAGGGGGGCGAGTAAATGAGTGGGCAAGGCTGCGCCAACACACACGCACACACGCAGGCGCACGCGCGGGTGTTGGGTGAAGTTTTTCATGCGTCTCAACTTGTGGGGCCTGGGGGGAAGGGGATAAGATGGAGGGTTTTGAAGTGAGGTTCAAGGGAAGCTGCCACAGGAAACCTGTACTTCAACAAACTGTTGGTTTGATGACTCATTCCAATGCCTGAGCCGGAGAGGGGATTGGGGGGGGGGGTGGGGGGAAGTGGTCAGAATTATCCAGTGTTCCATTTTGTCCCAACGCTGCTCTGCTGACGGCAAACCTCTGCGAGGCAGCGAAGCGGTCACCGACGCTGGCCGGGGATGGGGCGACTGCGCTCGCGCTGGCGTGTTGCTAACGAAAGAGCTCGATATCCTCCCCGTTAGTTCAGCCGGGGCCGCCCGGGTGTGTATTTATTTATTGCCCCCCTCCCCCCCTCTTCGTAAACGCTTTTCCCCGCAAAAATGGATCCCTTAATCGATGTCACGAGTTTAATTGACCCTCAAAAAAAAAAAAAGTGGTCGCTCAATCCCCGACTGTTTGAGGGACACTGCAGTGCGCAATGGGCTGCCGCGTTTTATAATATAATAATAATAGTGCCCGCAAAATGTGCAATACATTCCGTGAAGCGCTTTGAGACGTCTCAACGACGTGATGAGGCGCAATATCAAACGCAAGGATTATTATTATTATTATCGTTTGGCGTTAATATTCAGGCAGTTTGTATGTTTTGGGGCCGGAGAGCTTCCTGTCGGCTTTTTTCTTCTCATTTTTATCAAAAGGGAAGGTTTTGAATTTTAGTTTTGGTTTCCTTCCCCAGGTTTCGGTCTTGTTCTTCTGCTTGATTGACAAAGGAACATCAGTACGTTAGTTTAGTTAGTTAATTTAGTTAGTTAGTTAACTTGTGCTCCCATTGAACTGGGTCGAGAATGCCCGAATTCAACTTAAGTATGAGCCTTACGTTCACTGACATTTAACCCTTGGGATCTGGCCTGAAACCTGATTAGATGGAAGTCTCCCTGTTAAACAGCCTTCAGTCCAATCAATCTGAGTCAGGTTTGAAGCCAGACTCTGAGGTGAAAGGTCACATATTCTGAGACGCCGTCCGGCGTGGAGGGCGATATATAAATTCAAGTTGTTGTTGTTGTCCAGTCTTTCTGGGGGATGTGTTGCATTGCCAGAGGTGCCGTCCTTCAGTTAAACTGAGATCCCCTCTCCCTGTTTAGGTGGACGTTAAAGATCCCGCGGCACTGTTTGAAAAGAGAAGGATCTCCTGGTCAACCACTCCCAACAACTTGCCTTTACACAGCGCCGCTCACGTGGGACAGCGCCCCAGAGCGTGTGACGGTGGCGGAGCCCGGCGCAGAGCCAGGGGGAGGTGGAAGGTCTTCAGGCACCACCTGAAGTTGGAGATGGAGGGGTCAAGGCGGAGAGCTGGAGGGATAGTGTTGCAGAGTTTCGGGGGCGAAGTGGTTGAAAGTGTGGATGGTGGTACGGACGGCACGAGGGACAGGCAAGAGGCCGGAGCCAGTCGAGCGGAGGTAGTGGGTTGGGGAGAGAGCAGGTCAGAGAGGTAGGGGGAGGTGTCGGGGACCTGAAGGGATTTGAGGACGAGGTGTCTGGGGATAGGGTGCCGGTGGAGCCTGGCTAGGACGGGTGCGATAGCGCGACAATCCCCCTCCCAGGAGGGGAGATGAGACTCTTCGCGTTGAAAAGGGGTCGGAAACGAACGAGGCAAGCCACCACCCACAGTATTTATTGGGTAAGGCCACGTGACCAGTTAAAAAAAACCTCTCAAAACGGTTCTCTGGTCTGGCTCATTTCCTGCAGTTTGTTGGTTGACAGTTATCGTCACAAATCAATGGGCCACTGAATCCTGTGGTTGGGTTTCTCGTGTTCCGTTTGGCCTCCGATCCTCCCAAGCAGAACAAACGGTCGTTTCGATGTTGATAAGCCTCCACTCAGTTGCCTGCAAAGCAGTCGGAACGCATCGCAGAGGCATTATAGACTCTTCCGTCCTCATCGTCTCAGCTCAGACGGGGTAAGTTTTTAACTTTCCAACCTTCTTAACTCGTCCTCGCCACGGGCACTTTGAGACGTCCTCGCCACACGAAAGGCGCTGTACATTGCATGGCGTTCTATAGCACTGGAATTCAGAGATGGTGAGGGTTTAAATCTCCCTTGAGCGTGTTTGGCACAAGCTGCAGTTGAAGTCGTCTATTTCGAAATATTTTGCCCACAAAATGCACAAAATAATAATAATCCACTTCACAGCGTATCCTGTGAAGCGCTTTGAGACGTCCCAACGACATGTTAAGGCGCTATATCAAATGCAAGGATTATTATTATTATTTCTTGTGCTTTGAGAAGACATTATACGCAATACAATTTACACTTAGATAGCGCCCTTCACAGCCGAAGGACATCTCAAACGTGCTTAACCATTCTGGCTGGATAGCGGAGCAGAGGGTGGGAGCTGACGGGATGGGGAGGGGGCTTGAGGAGGGGCGAGACAACCGAAAGCGCGGTCAAAGAGGTGAGTTTCGAGCCACTCCTTGAAAGAGAGAAGGACGGAGGCAACGAGCACGAACATGAAGTTGTAATAAAAGTTGCACAAAGGCAGCTCTTTATCCATTGGTGTTTTTTTGCTATGTCTGTCGCTGTTTTTATTTCTATCTCACCCCCTCCCCACTGCTCACATAATAATAATGAGCAGTTTCTGGAAGCTAGAACCGGAATATACAGAACACACTGGGGTCCGGTCCATCTGACTGTTCACAAGTGAACGTATAATAATAATAATCCTTATTCATTTGATACAGCCCCTTATCACGTCTTTGAGACGTCTCAAAGCGCTTCACAGAATATACTGTAAAGTCAATCGACTGTGTACTTTGGGGACGAAACACAAATTCTGCCGCAGCCAAAGAGCAAACAAATGGTCAGACAGATTAGCCTTGTGATGGGACAAGGTGAGGACACCACGGGATACAATGGGACTGTCTGACAAGTTACTGTATGGGGTGTCCACAAAGTCCTGTTACCACATTCCCCCCATTATAAACCAGCGATACGAGACTCGCTTCTTCCATGTGGCTCAGTTGCTGGTCGCTCAGTGCACTGTGTAAAAAACACGCACACATGGGGGGGTAACAGGACTTTGTGGACAGCCTGTACAGGTCCCTGACCAGAGCATGGAATCTCAACAGGTCAGTCACCATTGCCTTCACCCCCATTCGACCAACACCTTCCAATTCATTCCCAATATATAGAAGATCCCAATAAACCAATTCACGTCCAATTCACTTTCATTGGATCCCAATGGAACAACACCCTCCCCATTCACTCCCATTATATAACAATAATCCTTGCGTTTGATACAGCGCCTTATCACTTCGCTGAGACGTCTCAAAGGGCTTCACAGAATACATTGTAGTATATTTTGTGGGCGAAACGCGGCAGCCAATTGCGTACAGATTATATGTATTCCAATAGGTAATATAGATTCCCGGCAGGGGAAGCTTCCTTACTCCACATGCCTGATAATAATCCCTCAAAAAAATAATAGTCACTTCAATCCATGACTTGTTTGTGGGAACGCTGCTGTGCGCAATGAGCTGCCGTGTTTCGCCCACAAAATACACAGTCAATTCACTTTATGGTATATTTTGTGAAGTGCTTTGAGACGCTACTCCGCGTGAAGTTGTTTTTGAAACCCATAAGGACTTCTCAAGGATGTGATAAGATGCTATATGAAATGCAAGCATTATTATTATTATTATCTAATTCGTACGCAGAATCCTGGCAAGTTCCACTGTATGGTTGTCCGGGAGTCTGTTCTGTTAGAGCTGCCCTGTGTTTTTTAAAAATAAATTATAGTTGAGGCAGTCAGTCGCTGAGATAAATATTAAAATTCAGTGCCGCCCTGTCAGGTGTTTGCATCTGTGCCGTGTTAAATAAAAGTAAAACCCACAAACTTTGTTTGTGCAGCGAATCAGGGCTTGAAAGCGAAAGATCGGTTAAGGTTCTGGGTTTGGTTCTCTATTAGAACACTTGTTTTGTTGCTCAGTGGTTTTCTTTCTTCCCCCCCTCCCCCCCCCCCCCCGCCCCGGCGCTCCACTTCAGGTCTGTGGGCAATATTGGAGTACAGGACTCCTCAAGACATAATAGGACTTGCTGAGGAGAGCAGCAAGAGCTGATCTCTGGTGTTAGAGCAATGAACTATGAGGAACAAATAAATAAAGCTAAGGCCTATCATTTGCTGTGCGCAATTGGCTGCCGCGTTCGCCCACAAATATACAGTCAAATTCACTTTACAGTGAGTTCTGTGAAGCGCTTTGGGACGTCCTCCCGACGTGAAAAGCGCTATATCAAATGCAAGGACTATTATTATTATTATCATGGCATTTATCCTCTCAACATCACAAAGCACTTCACAGTTTTCTGTGGCAGTTATCGTAACAATAATCCTTGCATTTGACTTAGTGACTTATCCCGTCTTCGAGACGTCTCAAAGCGCTTCTCAGATTTTACTGTAAAGTGAATTGACTGTGTATTTTCTGGGCGAAACGCGGCAGCCAATTATGCAGAGCAGTGTCCCACAAGATGTCGTGGATTGAGTGACTAAATTATTATTATTATTATTACTTTTTAACGGATTATTACTCCCAGAAAGCTAGGTTCCTACCTACTGCTAGGTAAAGAGAGGCGTGTGGAGTAAGGAAACTTGCCTAAGGTTTCGCTCTGCCCGAGAATCGAGCACGTGTCCTCTCGCTTGCGAGGCGAGTGGTCTAACCGCTGAGCTACAGGACTCCACAATGTCCTACAAACAGCCATGAAGTGAATGACCAATTTTATTTTGGGGGTGGGGGGGAGGATTATTGGCCAGGACACAGGGAGAAACTCCCTTCTCTATTCGAATAGTGCCGTGGGATCTTTAATGTTCACAGAACAGGCAGACGGGACCTTGGTTTCAAGTCAATAACGGAGCTGGGACCTTCCATCTTACCCCTTCCCATCTTTAAGACCCGCCTGAAAACCTATCTCCGTGACTGTGTTTTTGGCGATCGTCCCCTCCTGCTATAGGGATGTTTTTTGGACGCGGAATCATTGTAAAACTTCAGTACACATTTTTCTGCTGTTTCTATAGGAATAGCTGTTGAGCTGAATGCCACCCTCCCAAGCGGTGACTCATATAGCTTAGTGGTGGTGCTCTGCCGGGAAAGCGTGTCTGTGTCTGAGGGTGTGTCTGTGTGTGGTGTTGTGTGGTACATGAGTGTGTGTGTGTGTGTGTTGTGTGTGTGTCGGAGTCTGTGTGGAGTGTGTGTGAGTGTATGTGTGTGAGGGGGTTCACCTTATACATTCTATGGAAACAATGATGTTAACACACAGTTCCCTAAATAACATTAACACAGGAAGCGCTGATGTACAAAGTATGAAACAACTTTTGAGTGTGCGCAGCCTGTAACGCCGGGGGAAAGAGATCATAAGAGCTGAGGATACGACAGACGTAAATTTAGACGAGGGCCGAGATAAACACTCGTACTTGGGTCTGACTGACCGTCCTTCCCTTGTAGACCGCAGATTATATTGAGGCTCTCTCTTTCAGCACCTCAATGACCAGTGGAAAATATTTACTCCCTATCGATTGTATCAAACCCCAAGTAGGTCCACCTTTCAGGGTAAGAGGTCACCCTCTCCCTAGCCCAGTGACACTGAGGCCAATTGTAACATGTTACCACCATCCGAGTTAACTTGGCCCGAATCGGAGGGCAATCGTGGAGTGCTGTAGTGTTGTGGTCAGAGCACCCGCCTCGCAAGCGAGAGGACCTGGGTTTGATTCCTGGGTGGGGCAAAACCATAGGCAAGTTTGTTTACTCCACACTCCTCTGTTTATCCAGCAGTCAGTAGAAACCCGGCTGTTGGAGTCCTGTAGCTCAGTGGTTAGAGCACTCGCTTTGCAAGTGAGAGACCTGAGCTCAACTCCAGGCAGAGGGCGAAACCTTGGGCAAGTTTCCTTACTCCACACAGAGCCTAATAATAATCCCTCCAACACCAAAAACAATAATAAATTGGTCATTTTCAATCCACGACTGTTTGTGGGACATTGCTGTGCGCCATTGGCTGCCGCGTTCGCCCACAAATATACAGTCAATTCACTTTACAGTGTGTTCTGTGAAGCGCTTTGGGACGTCCACCCGACTTATTATTATTATTATTATTGTTAGTCGATTGGGGGTAATAATCCCTCCCCCCAAAAAAATTTGGTCCCTCAATCCTCGGGGGGAGTGGGGAGGAGGAAGTTCTGTTAACAATGAGGAAATGAAGATATTCAGGGAATTTCTGCTCTGGTGTTGGAGGATATTGCAAACTAGTTTCACACTCTCTTGACAAAACCACTGAAAGCAGGAAGTGCTGCAGAAGCAGTGAAGCACTCACATCCCAGAGACCGTGAGGGATGCTACAGGCAGCGACTGTGTCTCTGAGCCGGGCTGATAGTTTAACAGGGGCAGGGAACCTTCACGACCATCTGTGAACCTGTTTAATTCCAGTCAAGCTTGGCCGAGGAAGGCCTTTTCAGCCCATTCGATCTTATCTTCGAAAATACCCACTGGATTGCATCATCGCTCTGTGGCGTATTGGTTAGAGCCCTCGCCTCGCAAGCGAGAGGATCCGGATTTGATTCCTGGACGGGGAAAACCTTTGGCAAGTTCCCTTACTCCACACGCCTCTGTTTACTTAGCTGTAAGTAGGATCCCGGTTGGCGAATCGCTTTCGAGAAGTGATGAGCCACTACATTGTCAGAGGTGCCGTCCTTCAAATGAGACATTAAACCGAGATCCCAGCTGCTTGTTTGGGCAGATGTTAAAGATCTTGCGTCACTATTCAAAAAATGGAGGGAGTTTCTCTCTCTCAGTGGCCTGGCCAACAAATAAAATTGGTCTGTTTGTGGGACATTACTGCGCACAAATTAGCTGCCAGTTTTGCCCACAAAGCGCAGTCTTTTTGTGTTACACCCTGTAGCGGACATCCTCCTGACGTGAAAAGGTGGTATATTGTGCAAGGATTAAACTTGTCTTTCATCTCAGAGAGAGAGCAGATAAGAGAGAAGAGCATTATATTTACATTCATCGAGTGGGACTAGAAATAAGTGCCTTCTTCCTTCCTGTGTGCAATTGGCTGCCGTGGTTCGTCCAAGAAACACACAGTCACTCCACTTTGTGTACATTCTGTGAAGCGCTTTGAGACGTCTCAACGACGTGAAAAGGCGCTGTATCAAATGTAAGGATTATTATTATTAATATTCCCACATAAAAACCGTGACAATAAGAAAATGATATGACACCACCTCAGTCTGTCCATACCCTGTTGACTTGTCCAGATCTATATGATGGTGAGGACTAGAGATTTGCCCTAATGTTCATGGAGGCGACTAAAACATGTTTCTTTTCTACTTTTCCAGAAACTTCTGTCCATCATGCCGCTGGTTCGGGGCAGCTGTGTTCCTTTTGTCCTCCTCCTGACCGGAGTCTTGGTGAAGATGGAGCTCACTTCTGTGTCACCCAACAAGGAGACAGCTGACCTTTTGGGAGTGACCCAGAGCTCGGCAGCCAATTCTGAAAGGATCTCCGAGACTTTGTTATCCTCTACATCTCCCAGCGTCGCTCCTACATCAGACTCCATATCTCACAGCGTCACTCCTACATCCGACTCCATATCTCCCAGCATCACTCCTACATCCGACTCCATATCTCCCAGCATCACTCCTACATCAGACTCCATATCTCCCAGCGTCACTCCTACATCCGACTCCATATCTCCCAGCGTCACTCCTACATCCGACTCCATATCTCCCAGTGTCACTCCTACATCAGACTCCATATCTCCCAGTGTCACTCCTACATCAGACTCCATATCTCCCAGCATCATTCCTACATCAGACTCCATATCTCCCAGCGTCATTCCTACATCAGACTCTATATCTCCCAGCGTCGCTCCTACATCAGACTCCATATCTCCCAGCGTCATTCCTACATCAGACTCCATATCTCCCAGCTTCATTCCTACATCCGACTCCATATCTCCCAGTGTCACTCCTACATCAGGCTCCATATCTCCCAGCGTCGCTCCTACATCAGACTCCATATCTCCCAGCGTCACTCTTACATCAGGCTCCATATCTCCCAGCGTCGCTCCTACATCAGGCTCCATATCTCCCAGCGTCACTCCTACATCAGACTCCATATCTTCCAGTGAAACCTCAATCACTGAAGGTGCCACCACAGCCCTACTTCCTCACACAAGCCCTTCAGATCCAGGTCTTGAGAGTTCTTCTACAGAGATCTCCTCAACACATAGAGGTTGGGCGAGCACTGAGACTGGAAATGGTACAGACCAACCTGAGGTGATCTCAACTGCAGTCAGCAACTCCTCTGTGATTGGCGGACATGTCATCCATCCAGACGTGAGGAAGGAAGCTCAAACGACTCCAACTAGCAATGTGTCTTCCTCTACAGAGAAGGCCGGGACTGTGCTTCCTCCACGCCAGATGGAGGAAGGGACCTTCACGACAACCACCGTAGCAACCACCAAGGCCAAGAGCAAGAAATTAGGCATTGTGGGTCAGTGTCTGATCGTGATCGCTGTGCTCGCGGGTCTCTGTACCTGCTTTGCTGTAACCATCGTTGTCCTGTGCATCAAGCTGAACAACCAGCGCCAGGCCTACAAGATGAACAGCAGGGTGGCCACCGAGCTGGTCTGTATCTCCAGGCTGCTGCCCGAGGAGAGGAAGACCCCGAAGAGGAAAAAGGACCGTTACAACGACGACTATTACAAGGAAAAAATGAACATTTTTACCTGCGACAGTGAAGATGATGGGCTCACCCTCCACAGCTTTGTGACTGAACACTGAGACGTCCCCTTGGCTCTGAGCTACCAATCTCTTAACTTTCGAAGCTCATGGGAGCAAGTCTTGAATTGAGTCTCCTACCCTGATTAGTGTCAATGTATCTTTGGGGCTTCCCACGCCTGAACTCCCGCACATTCTGGCTGCTTGTCCAGCTAGGACTATCCTCCCCCATAAGGGCTTTGGCTTGCAGGGTTAACAGAAGCTGAGTGGGAGGATTCCTTGCCCTCAGTGACTGGTCTGTTCTTCCAGGTCTTGCCAATAAGCCAGGCTGGGCTGTGCTGTCATCAGGAATCCCCTGGAATACTGTAGACCCACCTGGCTCAGGAACCCAACTAATGAGTTCCTGCCTCTGGTCATCCCTGACATTCTCATCCCATCTATTTGTTTTTGGTCAGCTGGGTGTCTGACACACGCTCTAACACATCACCGTCCTTAAGAGTCTCCAAACCGAGCTGAGAATTCCCTACATCCCACCTACACATGGAAATCCCCGAGTTAGATTGCTGGAATGGAATGCGCTCTCTCTCTCTCTCTCTCTCTCTCTCTCCCTCTCTCCCTGGAGGGATGCATCCTGCTTACCTAATTCCGGAGGGTATTAGGTGCGGGTTGGCAAGAGCCAAAGGGTTGGGGTGGTGGGGGGAGCACAGAGTGTGCGTTGGGGTAATTGCTGGAACCTAACCAGCTAAAACCACATCTACCGCCTTGGGTGGAACATCTGCTCTGACTCATGTCTGAAGGACTTTGTACATAGTTGCACAGAAATATGTGCTTTTCTTTAATTATGCGAACTTGCTTTCCGGGTGCTTCATTGAATGATGCGTCAGTTGGACCTGAGATCAATGGTTGCAATTGTTCCAGCTCAACAACAACAACAACGACGACGACGACAACAAAATTACATTTGTAAAGCGCCTTTCATGTCGGGAGGACGTCCCAAAGCGCTCAAAGCTGAATTGTATGATTTCCCCCCCCAAAAAAATAATGTAATAGAAAGTCATTTCACAAAGTAATTTGTCTCTTTTTTTTTGATCTCGCAAATCGATGGCAAGTTAAGGTTTTGTAAGGTTTTTTCCCCTCATTCCCAGAACCCGAAAGGGTGGGCATTTAATACATCATTGAGATGTTGCTAAGGTGGACACTGAAGATCCCGGGACAAGAGAAGGCAGTTTCTTTCTCTCCCGGTGTCCTGGCCAACAATCCCTCTTATAAAACTGGTCACTCACTCCATGGCTGTTGGTGGGACATTACTCTGTGCAAATTGGCTGCCTCGTTTGCCCTAAAACCACGCAGTCACTCCATTTTACAGCACTTTATACTTTACAGCGTATGCTGTGAAGTGCTTTGAGCCGTCTTCCTGACATGAAAGGCGTTGTGTCAAATGGAAGGATCATTTGTCATCACCACAAGCCATAGACCGGTCGTATTTCCTGTGTGTTTCTCTTTAAACGTTGCCCGCATTGCGTGAGTCACTCGACACTGAGAGAGATTGATGTTCACTTCAATTCTAAGCAGTTAGGAACGTGAGATTGCAAGTCAACCCTTGGTCTGTCACGCACTCGCAGTTTGACTCTTGGATCATGTACAACAGATCCTGGCTACAACAGCAACGTAGGAGTTGCGACGTGACAACAGGCCAAGGTCCATCTCGTTGACCTTCTACCATCCTGGCAGTCACAAGTTAGAATAATGGAGATGTTGATTGCAATTAATTCTGTACGGATTAGTCTAACCATCACAGTGGGAAGCTTTGGGAACCTTAGATCCTAAGTTGCCCGGTTCATCCAAGCCACGCTGACACTCCAATACAGGTGCTATGTATCGCTGTATTGTCGGAGGTGCCGTCCTTCGGATGAGATGTTAAACCGAGGTCCCGTCTGCCCGTTCAGGTGGACGTTAAAGATCCCGTGTCGCTGTTCTAAAAGAGAAGGGAGTCTCTCCCAAGCGTCCAGGCCGACAATCCCAGACAAAGCTTGATAAGGCTCTGTTTCAAATGCAAGGGTTATTATTATATTATTATTATTCTTCATCAAATTGTCGGCAGCCACATCTCCCAAGGAAGCATCGCTCCTTCTTTTGTCTCCCTTCCGTGTTTGCGTGAGGTTCCCTGTCCTCTGCCACTGTTACTTCTGAGAACGAGGGGATGTTTCAGTTTGCTAACTTTCTCCCTCAGCAGATCCCAGTTTGAGAGTCCCAGTTGCCTTGTGTTTATCAACCCCAGATTTGCCCCCTCAGGCACATTATTCTCTCTTGAAAGGTCAGGGCTAGTGGTTTGGCCTAGGGTAGGGAGTGGCTTCTTGCCATCAGGACCCCCTTTACTCCCCCTCCCTACCTCACTGCCCCCCATTGACATCCCTTTGAATATCCTCCCCATCCTAAAGAAGTGGGGTGGGAGGGGGGAGTTTATACTGAGCCAGTGTTACACTACACACATTCCTCGCATTGACGGTGTGTTTCTTATTCTTACTCCCTACAGAGAGAGAAGGGAGCTTCTCTCTCTTGGTGTCTTGGCCAATAATTCTCCAAATAAAATTGCTGTTCACTTACTTCATGACGGTTTGGGTGGGGGGTGGGGGTGGAGGTTGCTACTGTGTGCAAATTTGGCTGCTGCGTTTCGTCCACTAAATTCACAGTCAATTCACTTTACAGTATGTCCTGTGAAGCGCTTTGAGACGTCTCAAGGATGTGATAAGGCGCTGTATCAAATGCAAGGATTATTATTATCTCCCCGCCTTTCAGGCCTCCTCTACATGACCCGGTCACATAGCGCGTTATTCCCTGCAACGTCCGAACAAGACCCAGGGTCCTCCGCTGCCTGTCGTTCTCCCTGACCCTGCGCCGTCCCTTTAACTGACTGTGGACGCTCAGTGCCTCCTCACATTCCTGTAACGCTCTCCCGTAACAAGCAACTTTGGCAGATGTTGAGCAGCCTTTATACAAGGAGCTCACAGGCCGACTCCTGCTTGTACTTCACTCCCTAGAGTCTCAATCAGCCCAAACATAGGGGCCTGTATTTACAATTTACAATCCATAGTCACAGGACAGTATATAGAGACTTAGCTTAACCTCCCACCACATCAACCCCCCCCTCCCCACCCCCCCCCCCCACCCCACTCAATGTTAAAGAAATTCCCCTTGAGGGATGTTGCCATCGTCCTCAGTTATAATAATAATAATAATAATTCTTGCATTCGATACAGCGCCTTCTCACAGCTTTAGACGTCTCAAAGCGCTTCACGGAAATATACAGTAACGTGAATGGACTGTGTATGTCGTGGGCGAAACGCGGCAGCCGATTGCGCACAGCGGCGTCCCCGCAAACGGCGGTGGATTGAGTGACCCCTTTTTTTTTCGAGGGATTATTACCCCCTGGAAAATAATCCGCCAACCCGACTAACAACCGGGTTTCTATTTACTGTTGGGTTAAACCCCCCCTCACATCCCCCACTGCCCCCCCCCCCCCCCCCCATCCCCCCGCCCCCGCTACATGCCTTTAATGGAAACTGTGAGTTTTGCAGCTTGAAAAAAAAACCCTCCCCGAGACACGCTGTCAGGCAGCAGCTGCCTTTGAATCTTACTGAATCTTCAATTGGGGGAAAGAAATGTTATTCTGGAACGCTCCGAAGCAGCTTTGCCTTTGCTTTGACTGAAGCTTTAATAACACTGCGGTGGCCCTTTTCGAGACCGGGGCTGCTTCTAATCTGTGGTCACCTGGGCTGAGCTTGGCGGGTCCCAACACAATGAGAGCAGACGGGCCCTGGAGACCGCATTCTGTGCCGCACGCACGCACACACCCCATCTTCAAAGCCGAGACGTGTCTTTGAACCGCTTTTGGGTTGAACGTGCAGTTTGGGTGGCTGTTCCGTGGCCGGCCACAGATGCCGGTGTTGAGCAACCATAAACCCCTTGGATTCCACGTAGCGCCTTAAGCACCGCGCCTCGGAGCGTTTCCCGGGGATTCGCTGTCGAGCGGGAGTGACCGGGCGGTTTTGCGGGCGGACGCGGCAGCCGATTTTTGCGCACGGGCTGCGCCCCGCAAACAGCCGCGGAGTGATCGAACAATTCTTATTTGGGGGATTGTCGGCCAGCGCACCAGGAGAGAGAAATTCCCTTCTCTTTTTCGAACAGCACCGCGGGATATTTAACGTCCACCTGAACAGGCGTAGGTGGGGAAGTCGGTTTAATGCCTTATCTTGTGTTGTGTTGGATGTAGTTAGGACAAAGCATAGACGTCTAGCTTCCTCTTAAGTGCATCTCTGGCGATCTCAGTCCCTTTTAGCTGAATTATTCTTCAAAATAGATGTAAGAGGAGCCTGAAGGCAGAGAGATGAATATTTTGTGTGGGTGGGGTGAGGGGGTTGGTGGGGGGAGTGGGGGGCGGGTGAGGATGAAGGGTAATGAGGATGTCTGACTGGCTGTGTGTTCCCTTAAGCTGTAGTTTTAATTACAGGCAAAACTACATGAGTTTCTGCTCAGGGTTTATTGAAATCAATATCTGGTGCCAGGCTCCGGAGAAAGGTTTCTGCTGAGAGAGACCGCAGTCTCTGATGCCCTGAGATACGAAGCACTATAAACTTTCAAGTCCCGTAGTGTAGTGGTTAGCGCACTCGCAAGAGAGAGGACCTGGGTTCAATTCCCGGGCAGAGCAAAACCTTAGGCAAGTTTCCTTACTCCACACACACGCCTCTGTTCACTGAGCAGTAAGTAGGAACCCAGTTGTAAGTCGATTGGTGGATCGCTTTCCGATGCCTTCAAAAAACTGCTGTGTCCCCAGAAAAAAATGTGCAGTCAATTCACTTTACTGTGTATTGATACAGAGCCTTATCACGTTGTTGAGACGTCTCAAAGCGCTTCACAGAATGTCCCGTAAAGTGAATTGACTGTGTAATTTGCGGGCTAACCGTTGGCGAGAGCCGAGGGTTGGGGGGGACCCCAGAGTGTGTGCGTTGGGGTAACTGCCGGAGTCTAACCAGCTAAACCCACACAACTTAACCATTGAGAGCCCAGTCTGGCAAGGCTTTAATGCGCTCTGGATGAGAGAAGGGATGAAATGGCTCAGTGGAAATTCCACAAGGATAGGTTTTGTTGGGATTAATAACTTCTTCCTGTTCCTTAAAGACCCTTCTCCTGGTGCTCCTCCGTGTTTCCTGCTTCTCCTCTGGTCTGTTTAGATGGCCTGGGCTGGGAGGCCAGCCTGGTGAGGTCAGAGAGCAGGACGCTGTCTCCCAGAGGCAAGCAACTGGAGACACATCGCTCCGTCTGATCCTGAATAACCTTCAAATCAACTCAGCGACTCCCACGTCTCACCACATCACAGCAGAGTCAGCGCAGCGGAGGGGATTAGTGAGGAGACACAGGCAGAGCAGGAGACTGCTTCTGGGTCAGAAAGTCAAACGGCAACAGTGCAACTCGCTGTGATGTGGCCAGACACCCTCCTCGCCCCCTTCTCTGTACCACAACAACAAATGACATTGGCGCTGCGCCTTTCACGTCACGAGGACGCCCCAAGGGCGCTGGGCAGTCAGGGATTTGGCCCCGATCTGGCAAGCTTTCCCGATGCTTGTCCAGCTAGGACCACCGTACCCGCTAAGGGCTACCAGGGAGGTAAGTATTCCTCTGTGTGACATACAGGGGGTGCTATTACTCTGCCATACCTATTCCCTGGGACACCAGTAAAGTCAAATGTGGTATTTCTCTCAGTGTTACCACATGGTCTGACACCCGGGTTTAGACAATGGGGTTAACGGTGGGTTCTTCTGTCTATCTCCATCACCTCCCTGGCTCCTCACCCCACCCAGCCCCTCCCCGAGCCCCTCCCTCACTGTCCTGGATATATCACGTCCTGGACTACATCAAACGCAAGGATTATTAATTACTCTTTGTAAAAAATATGTATATTTTTTGTCCTAAAATTGTTCTTCACCCAACCTTGAACCTGTGCCCTCTGCTACCCGCTGCCTTTACGTATGTAAAGAGCAACAGACCTTTCTTTATATGGACTTGTCAAGGCTGGGGTGAGGGACCTTGTCAAACCCTTTGTGACATTCAGTAACATACAGCACGTTCCACCATCTACCAAATGTCTCGCATCCCTCAAACAGTTTGGTTACATTTGCTGGGAACGAAATGCCTTTCAAACACTTCCATAGGAACAGGAGGAGGCCATTTAGCCCCTCGAGCCTGTTCCACCATTCGATTAGATCATGGCTGATCTGCACCTAAACTCCAATTACCCGCTTTTGCCCCACATCCCTCGATACCCTGACCTAATAAACATCTATCCACCCCAGTCATGAATGGCTCCAACATCCACAGCCTTTTGGGGGAGAGCCAGAATTCCAGATTTCCACTAGGTTTTGTTTGAAAAAAATGCTTCCTGATTTTATTTCTAAATGGCCTGGCTCTAATTTTAAGATGATGCCCCTTGTTCTGGATCCACCCACCCACCAGAGGCAATAGTTTCTCTGTAGCTACCCTATCAAATCCCTTTATTATTTTGAACACCTCAGTCAAATCACCCCTCTAGTTTCTAAACTCACTCACCTTAGCTCGATTTGTTTCCTTTTAAATATTTTTCTGCGTTTGGGACATTTTATTCCCAGGATCATGCCTTCGAACTGTTTTTACCATTGAAGCCTTGTTGGCTGATGTCCAGAATTCCCTTGTATTTAATGAACCTTGGCTCCTCTCCATCTCCACCTCATTTCCTTACGTGTTCTTGGATGTAAATCATCTGGTCCTATTCCCAATGAATATCCCAGTGTTTCTGGGATTCATTGTTCCTGCTCCGCTGGAGTCCTGTAGGGTTTTGGTTTTGGGAATTCTCAGTTTGATGTGGATGCTGTTAAACACGGTGATGGGTTTCTGCACGTGTCAGACAACCGGCTGACCAAAAAACACACGCTTTACAGTATAACCTGTGAAGCGCTTTGAGACGTCCTCAACGACATGATAAGGCGCGATAGATATCAAATGCAAAGATTATTATTATTAGAATTATTATCATTAAAACCCCCCTCCCTGTAATGGGTGCAGCACAAAGCATTTTTTTGGTGGGGGTTGTGGTTGTGGGGGCAGTCGGGGTATCTGACACACGCGGAAACCCATCACCGTTGCTTAAGAGTCTCCAAACCAAACTGAGAATTCCAGGCCTCCCACCTACACACGGAAATCCCAGAGAGAGATTGTTGGAATGGAATGCGCTCTCTCTCTCCCTCTCTTTCTCTCCCTCCCTGGAGGGGTGCATCCTGCTTACCTAATTCCGGGAAGTATTAGGCACAGGTTTGGCAAGAGCCAAGGCTTGGGGAGACCTCAGAGTGAGCGCAAAGCATGAAGTCAAGCAAGAATCAAACGAATTAAGTAATTTAGTCCAACTTTACTATTTATAACGATTTTATTTTTGCAGGAGGAAATTCAAAAACATTAATAACAGAGCAAAGATGCGTTTTCTCTGCTTGTAATTGTCTCGGGTCAGTTTGCTGCCCCTCTGCTGAGGTTAAACACGAACACGCACAACACAACACACACATACACACAACACACACACCCTCTCCCTCCCTCCCTCCCTCCCTGTCTCCTATCAGCTGAATAAAGCAGTTCTGCCTTTGACACAACGACAGAGTCTGGGCAGGAAGTCTGCAGAAGAGTAATACATCCCTGTAGCTCAAAGCTCAAATAAAACTGACTTTAATGAAAACAATCTGTCCAGGAAGGAGCGGGAGAGGAGAAAGAGGGAGAGAGAGAGAGGGAGAGAGATCCTAACATCTCTGCTTACTCTACAACTCTGCCTGATAGATTCAGGGACTTTTATAAAAAAAAAGCAAACAAATACTTTTCGCAGGAGGAAAAAGGACTCCAATTCAGACCAGACGCAACATTTGAGATACTTCTTTCAACCTTTTATCCTAGGTTTTCTTTCCAAGATCCTTTTTTTTATAGAACAGAACGATAAGGTCAAGAGGGTGAGTCCTGGTTTATATGATTTTTTTCCTTTGCCGAATGCAAGGGGAAAGATGGAGAAGAGAGGGATTATTCTCATTTTTCTCTCCCTCTCTCTCATGCTCTTTCTCTCTCCCTCTCACACTCTTTGCTCTCAGCGCAAAATTTTATTTTTCTTTTATTGTATTTTTTCACCAGAGTTGGGTTTCTCTCTCTTTCACCAGTTCTATGTTTTTCAACCTATGTGGTATGGATTGTTGGGGAACTAACACAAACAAACTTAGTCTAGAGTTACTCAAATCCTTTTTTTCTCTCCTGTTTGTTCCCTGCTCTCCTTTCTCTCCTTGTTTCGTGGTTCTCTCCGTCTCTCACACTCCCTCACTCATCTCTCTGTCCTCTGGTACTTGCTCGCTCTTGATTTCCAGCATTTAGTGCCTGTGATCATTCAAGAAGTCCTAGATATTTGGAAAAACCTTGGGAGATATTGGAGGAAAAATTTACACTACTTGAAAATCGGTTCCTTGTGGTGACTTGAGAACAATCTCAAAGTGTTGTTTGTTCCAAGAACAAATGAGATAGATTTTGGTTAGGAAATAATATCTCGGGATCGCATATATAGTTTGGGACATGACATGCCAAGCGACTGCCAGGATGGTGGAAGGCAAACTGGATGGATTTTGATCTTCTTTCACCAGCAAATTCCTATGTTCTTAGGTTCTTATGAACAGGATCTCAAATGCCAACAATTTTGCCCCATTTTTTCTGAAGCCGAAAGCTCTCCTTGTATTCTGTTCTAACAGTGAACCCGCAGTTATTCTCACTCTTCGATTTCCTTCTCTCTTTTCTCTCCCCTTCTCCCTCTTCTTTCTCTGTCCCTCTCACATTCTTTTCTTTCCCACACTTGCTTTCCGTGCAAAATTTTATTCTCCTCTTTCTTCCCCTGACTTTCACACTTCTCTCTTTTCTCCAGCTCTCTACGTTCTTGGCTCGCTCACCCCATCATCCATTCCATTGGAATCACTAAGCTGCTGACTTCTTCAACCTCTCCTTTCCTCTCTTTCTCCTTCTATTTTTCCTCCCACTGTATCCCGTCTCTCTTGTTTCTTTCTCGTACTGTTTTTTTTTTTCTGGAACAAAGAAGGTTGAGATGTGACCTGATTGAGGTCTGCAAAAACGATGAGGGGTTTTGATAGAGTCAATAGGGAGAAATTAGTTCCACTGGTTGGTGAGTCAGTAACTAGAGGGCATCAATTTAAGATAGTTAGCAAATGAGCGAACAGTGAGGTTAGGAGAAATTGTTTCACAAACAAAGTGGTTAGGATATGGAATGTCCTGCTGAGAGCGATGGCTGAGGCAGATTCCACATTGGCTTTCAAGAGGGAACCAGACAAATCCCTTAGAAAGAGTCAGCTCTAGAGATTTGGGGAATTGGGCAAAGGGCAGGTAAGTGGGACTGAAGTCATTGCCCTTAAAGGAGTGGCACAGACGTGATGGGCAGAATGGCGAAGACCAGAGGAGAGGGGAGGAGAAATCTTTTTCCCCAGAATGTTGTTACGATCTGAAAGGCTGGTGGAAGCAGATTCGATAATAAGTTTCAGAAGGGAATGGGACAAGCACTTGAAAAGGAAAAAAATGTGCGGGGCAATATGGGGTAAGTGCGGGGGATGGACTAGTTGGGTAGCTCTTTCAAAAGGCCGGCACAGGCAAGATGGGCCGAATGGCCTCCTTCTGTGCTGTAGGATTCTATGACTATGATTCTGTGCTGTATGTTTCTATGGTTCGGTTGTTCTGTTGATCACTCGCACCTTCCCTTCCTCAACAATGTGCATTGACTGCACAGAGACAAGAGATTCCAGCTCAGGGCCACAAAGAGCTCTCAGTCAAAATAGTGAAAGCCTACGTAGAATAACTAACAGCAAACAACAGTCTGATGGAGATTTGAGCTCAGAGGCAATGCTGGGGACGGCTAATCCTGCCTTGAATTAAGGGGTCATCTGAACAATAATATTGATGTGTTGTTTCACCATTCAGGATCTGGCTCCTTGGGCAGACAGAAGGGAGGGAGGGCAGTTTGTTCAGGAAATTCCAGGAAGAAGAGTGAATATTTCATCCTTTATTCTGATGAATTGGGACGAACGTCATTCCTTGGCTGATGGGTGGGCGGGGAACCTTAAACCTCTTATTAATAATTTGATCGCTCAATCCACGATTGTTTGTGGGACACTGCTGTTGGCTCCCACGTTTCGCTCGTAAACTACCCAGTCACGCCACTTTACAATGCATTCTGTGAAGCGCTTTGAGACGTGTCAACAAAGTGATATGGTGCTATATCAAATGATTGTTATTATTATTATTATTATAACCTGACGGGCAATTTGCACACAGCAACGTTCCACAAACAGCCAGGCTGATGGTGGTAGGAGGGGAGAAGGTGCTGGGGTTAGAAGTTCTGTATCTTACAGAAAGAACGAGAGGCTGAGAGAACTGAGGACTCCCCAGTTCTGAGGTCCCTGTGAGGAATGTGTGAGCAATATGCAGGAAGGAGAGCGAGAATGAGGGACAGTCTGTTTGGTACTTGGAAGGAAGTGGGTCAGAAGGTTATGGGTTCCATTCCCACATTGGGACTTGATCTCATAGCCCTGGTATCCTGAGCCGCAATCCTCCAGATTAATCACCTCGTGTTGCTGACTCTCTCTTTCTCTCTCATTCTTTCTCTTTTTCTCCCTCTCCTACTCACGCTCTCTCTCCCTCTCTCTCTCTAATATAATAATATTCCTTTCAGTTGATACAGCGCCTTATCACGTTGTCGAGATGTCTCAAAGCGCTTCACAGAATACTTTGTAAAGTGGATTCACTGTGTATTTTGTGGGCGAAACATGGCAGCCAATTGCACACAGCAGTGTCCCATAGATTGAGTGACCAATATTTTTAGAGAGGGTGAGGGATCCCTCTGGAGTGTTTGACAATCTGCGTTAACTCCCAGATTCCCAGCGTAGACTGGACAGTTTCCAGCAGAACAGCCTGCCCTCTGACCTCCTGGTTTTCCTATGTTAAATCTATTAGCCGATGTGTTTGGGGAAGCTCCCATGACTCTCTGCTGGGTTGGGGTGGGGGGGGGGGGCTATAGTGGCTTATATCTGACCTGTGCTTGAATATTCTTTCTCCCATTTATCACCTTGGAGAGGACAAACATTTTCTACCAGAAAAAATAAATGACGTCGAAGAAACGAGACTGGAGCTCAGCCATACTCAAGGCTGAAGCCCTCTGTCGGTTTCCTGTTCAAACTCCCTCCTCTTTTCGACGAAGGCAAATGGGATCTTTAACATCCACCTGAACGGGGCCTCAGTTTAACATCTCATCCGAAGAACAGCACCTCCCGACTATGATAAGGCGTTATATCAAATGCAAGGATTATTATTATTATCATTATTATTATTATTAATGTTGAATTATCTTTTTGTTGTCGTTGTTGCTGTTGTTTAAACAGATCTCCGGGTACCAGTGGCAGAGAACAATGGGCTTCCTCTTCATCTCGTTGCTGCTGATGGTGGTGAGCGTGTGCCCGGGTCGAATGAACCCCATCCCCGGCACCAACATAACCCTCTCAATGGACTCCGAGCACTCGGGCACAGGGGATCTTGGCAATAATTTCTCAGAAGGCTTTGATGGGACCAGGGACTCGGAGGTGGTGTGGAACAGCAACCCCGATTTCACCAGCAATGACACGGTTGCCCCTCCTGAACCCTCTCGCATCGGGATGAACATCATGGAGTTTATCAACCAACACATGATCTCCATCATCATCGCGGGAGTCCTGCTGGTATTGGTGGTTGTGAGTGTCTGCACGGCAGTGCTGGTGAGGCAGAACTACAAAGCCTCGGCCTACTATCCCGCCTCTTACCCCCACCGGACCTACGTGGACGAGCAGGAGAAGGAGGGGGCGGTCAAGGCTTTCAGCGAGATTTCTGACCAGTTGGGCTGCCCCCCCAGAGTGGAGGTGGTGGACTGTTCCAGTCAACTGAAGGCGGACATTCTGGCTGCAGCTCACAGCCTGAAACGGAAGCCACCATCCAAGGCAGAGGGGGATATGAACGTGGAGACCCCAGCGAGGGAGGATAGTGGGAGGGTGTCCCAGGGGGTGGGTCAGGAGGAGGGGGATAAGGCAGTACCTGAGGTGGGAGGCAAGGAGGTGGAACCAGGTCCAAAGTCCAAGGCAACAGATGACAATGGGGATGATGCCCGGGCTGCTGTGGCCCCTGGAGCAGATGGAGACAGCGACCAAGAAGGTCCAACTTTGTCCAAGGAGGAGGAGGAAGACGAAAAGGGGGAAAGAGGAGAAAAAGGGGGAAGGAGTGATGAGGAAGGAGAGGAAAAGGAGGGAGGAGAGACGGGGGAGAAAGCAGAACCTGAAGAGGAGACAAATGCCAAGTCTGGCAGCGATGCTGACAACAAGCCCCTGGTCTCTGCCGACAAACCACGAGAGACACCACAAAGAGACCCTGAGACCCAGGCACCAGGAGAGGCAGAGGCAGAGGGTGCGGATAAGGCACTGAGTCCAACAAACCAGGAGCCAGAGGAGGTCAAGCCGGCACAAGAAGATCTGAAGAAAGCCACTGAACCTAGTCCAGAGGGTCTCGGCGACCAGGAAAATATCCCATTGATTCCGAAACAGGATAGTGCATCTGGTGATACCACAGCCATGTAGAGGAAGATTCCAGGCAATGACCCCACCCTCACTGACGATGGGCTCCTTAACAGATAACTGGGCGGTGGACAACCGCTCAGTCACACGATCGCTTTCTGTTGTTGCCTTTCAATGCTATTGTTTTGATGACGTTTTTCACCGGGCGGCTGGTGAAAGGAATTTTAAAACCCTTAGAATAAGTAAATGTAGTCGACTGACGAAACTGGGGCCGTTGTTTGTAAAGGAACTTGGAATTGGTGTGCCAGGTTCCCTGAGAAACCAGGGAATACCCACGTTACTAAATGGGAAAAACTATTCGGGATTTCCACCATCCAGGAATCCCTCTGTCCTGCTCCTTGGCCGTTTCGCTCTCCCGTTGGAGGGTGATCAAACACTGTTATCTTGAATCACCCGTCTCCCTCGGGAGCCTGTTCTGTACGATTACTTCGCTCACTGAAGTAGTGTGTCCACAGATTTGTTCTGAATTTACCCCCCTTCAATCACAGGCCGTTGAGGTCTGAATTTGCCCCCATATAATTGGAGAAGCGCCTCCTTACTTTTATATTTATATTTTATATTCAGCGTTAAGCCCCAGTCTCAGAGAAACATGGCTTGCGAGCCTGTTTGCCTTTATAGTGAAGTCCAGCACCTGGTTTGTGTTTGAGCCCAGAAACCAGGGGACATTTTGTCCAAGCCTTTTGGGGTCCTGTAGTTACATTACATGCGTACCAGCTAGTTCCAGAACTAACCTTTAATTAACCTTCAAGTGGAGTCCTGTAGCGTATTGGTTAGAGCACGCGTCTTACAAGCAAGAAGACCTGGGATCAATTCCTGGGCACGGTGAAACCTTAGGCAAGTTTCCTTACTCCGCACACCTCTGTTTACCTGCAGTAAGTAGAAACCCACTTGTTAGTCGATTGGCAGATCGCTTTCCGAAGGTAATAATCCCTCAAAAATAAAATTTAAAATAGTAATAATGCGATAACTCAATCCGCGACTGTTTGTGGGACACTGCAGCGCGCAATTGGCTGCCGCCCTTCGACCACAAAATACACAGTCAATCCACTTTACAGTGAAGCGCTTTGAGGCGTCTCGGAGACGTGATAAGGGGCTGTATCAAATGCAAGGATTATTATTACAATAATTCTAGATTTAGTGACGAAGGAAAAAGGACGGGCGCCATGGAAACGGGCAGCTATAACTCTTGCTGTTGACCAGATGGAAACCACGCAACCAATACAATGTGGGCCTGACTGAGCTTCAGGTCAGTGTGTCCCAGGCAGCGACATTTCCCAACCTGTTTCTTGTTAAGATTCGGCTCAACCTCTCGGACTTTTAATCGCTCGCCAGGAAGAAAGGAGACAATGTATTGTTTCTAATCAAATAAATTCATCAGTGACCTTAGCTGGGCCAAGCCAGTTGCCTTTGTTTCATTGACACACATACAATTTGGGTACAAATTAGTAATGTGTACTGCTGTTGGGTTTCCTGTAATTCACCACTGGATTGGCTTTTCTATTGTCGCGGTAAACCTGACATCAGTCATCTCAGTTGGGACCATACATTTAATATGACTTATGCAAAGTGTGTGTGCGTATGCACGTGTGTGTACGTGTGGGCACGTGTGCGTGAGTGCGTGTGTGTGAGTGCGCGCGTGTGACAATGGGTTCAGAATCATTCTAACCATGAGAGCTGGGAACCAGTGCTGAAATCAGACACTTATGCGACACATACAAGGTTAGGGTGAGTGGATATGATGCAAATATATCCAATAATATATATCCTATAATATAATATATCCTATAATATAATGTTGTGTTATCCCTAAATCATCAACTACACTAGGTATCCGCTGTATGCCATACACAATACAAATTTGTATTTCAATAACACCTTTCACATTGGGAGGACAACAACAACAACAATGACATTTACACAGCGCCTTTAACATCGGGAAGACATCCCAAGACGCTGGACAGTCAGGGATTTGGCCCCGAACTTGGGGTTGGGATCAGGAGGGCTGGAAGGCAGGGAGGGTGGGGGTAGGAGGGTGAACAAAAGCGCGGTCGAAGAGGAGAGTCTTGAAGGAGGCTATGGAGGGAGCGAGGCGGAGGGACTGTGGGATGAGGTTCCAAAGGGTGGGAGCAGAAAGGTTGAAGACCCGCTTACCAATGGTGGGGCAGGCTGGGTGGGGGACATGGAGCAAGCTGGAGCCCGCTGAGTGGACAGGTCGATGTGGAGTTAGCAGGCCACAGAGGTAGAAAGGAAAGGACAGGTTTGTGCTGGAACAGAGAGAGAGGACTACAATGGCTGTGAATGAACCTTTTCTCCTCCCTGAATTCCTCTGATGGCTCGTGACCTGTTCGGGATTACTACACACTGCGTGTTAGCATTTGATGTGGCAGCCTTGTGTGTATCTATTATACCCCATCCTGACATTATAACAATGTTCTCACTCACTCGATCCAGCCCACTCGCGGCTGGAGAATGTGACTGGAAGCCAGCCCAAGAGAAAAAGCACCAGGGGCTGAATGTGAAAAGTCATTGAACCAGAGAAGGCAATGTGTTGATGTTTGCTGTTGTTCAGGACAGATAATTGGGAGAAATACTTAAACGGATAAACTTCAAGGTCAAGCATGGATCAAACCTCCAGGTTCTCAGTCCCAGTCGTGTGACTGGAGTCTCCTTCCTCTAAGCTGCTTTGTGTCACTGCACAACAACACTCCCCCTACCTCCGCCCCCCCCCACCCCACACACACACTGCACTAGAATGTCAGCCCAGGCTGTCAGCTCAGGTCCTGACGTGAGGCTTGAACGCACAACCTTCTGAGCCTTCGTAGCCAGCAGAGAGAGAGTTGGTTGCTATCCTATCAGTCTGGGGAGTTACATTCAAGGTCAAGTCTCAGAGGTTAAAGGTCAGTGCTGTAACCCACTGCTCCAGCCTATATTCTGTGTATAACACGTTCCATCCCGGCTGTTATCCTGTCTGTGATTAATTCCAGCTCTGTGTATAACACGCTCCAGCCACATATTATTGCAGCGAGCAATTAGGAAGGCGAACGGTATGTTAGCATTCATTATGAAAGGATTAGAGTATAAGAGTAGGGAAGTCTTGCTGCAACTGTATAGGGTCCTGGTGAGACCACACCTGGAATACTGTGTGCAATTTTGGTCTCCTTATTTAAGGAAGGATGTACTTGCCTTGGAGGGGGTGCAGCGTAGATTTACTGGGTTAGTACCAGGGATAAAGGGGATGAGTTATGAGGATGACCAATTTGGGCCGATATTCTCTAGAATGTAGAAGAATTAGAGGGGATCTTACAGAAACCTATAAGATCATCAAAGGCCATGATAGAGTAGATAGTGGGAGGTTGTTTCCCCGGTTGGAGAAACTAAAACCAGGGGTCACAACCTTAAAATCAGAGGTCAGCCCTTTGAGTTGAGGAAGAACTTCGCTCAAAGGGTGGTGAATGTATGGAACTCACTACCCCAAAGGGCTGTTGACGCTCAGTCCTTGAACATATTCAAGACTGAGAGAGATAGATTTCTTATTGCAAAAGGGATTAAGGGATATGGGGATAAGGTGGCGTCAGGTTATTAGCTGGAGTTAGATTAGAAGATCAGCCATGATTGAATGGCCTACTCCTGCTCCTACATGTTATGTTATTATGTTATTATCCTGTGGGTAACATGCTCCGACCTGCATGTTATCCTGTATTCAACATGTATGTTATCATCAACTTAGTAACGTAACATGTTCTAGCCAACATGCTACCTCTTAAGTAACACATGCATTGATTTTGCTGAAATAAGACATGTTACAGGCATAAGAACTTACAGCTGGTAACTGTGACAACAGGAAGAATGGCCAGGGTGAAGCCAGGGATGTGCGTGGCACTACAGTACAGATGTGAACACCACAATACAGATGTGAGCAGCAATCTGAGACTCGGGTCCTGTTTTTTGGCCGAATGCAGTGGAAATACAGCACCCATTGCAGTGTATAAATTACACCAAAGTATTTATACTAACATTCATGCTGGAGTGTTTTTTGGCTCGCGAGCTTGTTCTCACTGGCTTTGGGTTTCAGCATCTTGTTGGCAGTGCTCGACTGACTCTCCATAAAAAAAGTACACTCACCCCACAATTATATGGCTAGCCATTTAATCCTAAGGGAGGGAGCTCTCAGGTCATAAAGCTGTCTTGATGGTTCTAATTTAAAGCATGGTCAAAGCCTAAGTTTCTTCTTCATCTCTCTTTCATTTTATTGTAATTCTATTTCTTATTTCCTCCCTCCTCTATATTGTAGCCCTAACAGTGTATCTCTGCTGACAGTTCGTGTATGTGACATTATTAGACCCAGTTCTCTTCCCCTTTCCCTGGTTGTTAAGGAGCTATGCTCAATCTGCCTCCGTACCAGGTACCTTCCTTTGATATTTCATCTTTCCCTAAAGTCATGGATTGAGTGACCAAATTATTATTTTTTTGAAGGGATTATTACCCCTGGATAGTGATCTGCCAATCGACTAATAACCAGGTTCCTACTTACTGCTTGGTAAACAGAGGTATGTGGAGTAAGGAAACTTGCCTAAGGTTTCACCCAGCCTGGGAATCGAACCCAGATCCTCTATCCACTGAGCTACAAAACTCCATGAAATTTTCAAGACTGAAAAGATTGCTCTTGAGGGAGCCCGGCACAGATACGATGGGCAGAGTGGCCTTCTTAGGTGTCATTAATTTCTAAGTTTTTACGATGGCGGTGGGGGAGGGTGGGGGGGGTGTGGGGGGGGGGGGGGAACGGGCTTGTTGCAAAGCTTTCTGTCAGAGAAAGTAACCTTTTGCATCTTACAACCCCTTTAATCTGCGGGTGGGGAGTAATTACACAGGGGAAGCTTGATGTGGTCCCACGGGTAACCAAATTATCACACTTGTGTAGCGTTTCAGGCTTACCCACAAGTGCGGCTCCACCCTGGAGTTATACACTGTACAAGCCAGGAATGTCCTCAAGGACAGTTTGTGTGTTCCACATCATCAGCAGCTGAGTTGCCGGCAGTGCTGATACATTGAAGGAGAGCAATAGCCCTTCAAGAAATTCATTGTTGCTTTGCTGTTAAAGGGACTGTTGAACCAGAGCTGATTCCCAAAATTGGACAAAAGAAGGTAGTTTCTCCCAACGTCCTGCCCAACAATCCCCCAGATAAAATTGGTCCTTCACTTCCTGGCTGTTTGTGGGACATTGCTATGTGTAAATTGGCTGCCACGTCCACCCACAAAATACGCAGTTACTACACTTTACAATAAATCTTGTGCCTCACTTTGAGACGCCCTACTGATGTGAAAAGCGCAATATCAAACACATGGATTATTATTATTGCTACCAACTGAGCCGGGCTGGCATCTGTACATGTAGCAGGTATACTGAGCAGGTACACAATAAACATGCAATGTCCCTATACAACTTGTCTGCACAGTGAATCTGCATGCTTGGTAAGAGATTTTATTTTTAATTATAGTAATAATACTTTGCATTTGATATCACGTCTTCTTGTGTTGTTGGGGCGTCTCAAAGCGCTCTTCAAGATGTGTGAAATTTTGTGGGCAAACGTGGCAGTTAAATGTCTCATAAACAGCCATGGAGTGAGTGATTAATTTTAATTGGATGATTGTTGGCCAGGACAAAGAGAGAAATTCCCTTCTCTTATGGAATAGTGCCATGGGATCTTTAATGTCCACCTGGGCAGACAGACGGGACCTCAGTTTAACGTCTCATCCAAAGGCTGACAGCTCCAACAATGAAACCCCACTCCAATTGGAGTATCAGCAGAGACTATATTGGTTCCTAGGTTCCAGGTCCCAAAAAGGGGCTTGAACCTTCTGACTCAGAAACGAGAGTGGAACCAACTGAGCCAAGCTGACATACTTAAAAACTTAGTTAACTGGGAACTTGATTGCTTCAAAACTGAAAATGCTTCCTTGGGGTCTCTATAAATAGATATATTTAAACATTATTCACAGGCTGCAGTATTTGTAAAATCCGAGCTTTGCATTGACGGACTCCCTAAACTGTGTGTTTTACAGCGTCCTGATCTCCCAGTTACAATTTGCTTGGAAGCCAATCTCCAGTCTTTTCCTGTTCAATCCAGATCTCTGCAGCCTGCAAAGAAAAGCACTGTCTCCACTTTGAGGCCGTCAGAGGTATCACAGGACTCCTCTGTTACAAGATGGCAGCAGAGGATCTAATGGAATCACCGGGGGCAGGGAATCATCCCACACTCAGCTCCTGTTAACCCTGCAAGCCAAAGCCCTAACAGATCGGATGTCCTAGCTGGACAAGCAGCGGGAAAGCTCGCCAGACAGTGGCATCGATTGCAAGCTGTACACTTTCAGCTGGTTAGTCTCCAGCAGTTACCCCAACGCGTGCCATCTGAAAAGAGAAGGGAGTTTCTCCCGCTGTCCTGCTCCATAAAATTGGTCACTCGCTCCACGGCTGTTTGCGGGGACATTGCTGTGCGCAAAACTGGCCGCCGCGTTCCACCAACGAATAAAACGAAGTCGCGCCACTTTACCGCTTGGGCAGCGGTGAGGCACCTTAACGGCGCGTGAATAATAATAATCCTTGCATTTGATATAGCGCTTTTCACGTCGGGAGGATGTCCCAAAGCGCTTCACAGAACACACTGTAAAGTGAATTGACTGTATATTTGTGGGCGAACGCGACAGCCAATTGCGCACAGCAATGTCCCACAAACAGTCGTAGATTGAAAATGACCAGTTTATTATTGTTTTTGGTTTTGGAGGATTATTATTAGGCTCTGTGTGGAGTAAGGAAACTTGCCCAAGGTTTGGCCCTCCGCCGGGAATTGAACTCAGGTCTCTCACTCGCAAAGCGAGTGCTCTAACCACTGAGCCACAGGACTCCAGAAGCCGCTGTGTCCAATGGTGGGATTATTATTCAATTAACAAAATAGTGTGCGTCCAACCAGCTTTGCGCGAGCGCTGCCGTCGTTAACTGTTGTAACTTTTTTTTTATTCAAAATACACACAACCAATAAGTATATTTGTTGTGTGGCGATCTGTTGTGTTGCAACCGCCCCACGTGATGATGCCCTTTTTTTTTTGTGAATGAACCCGAACCCCATTGACGTTTTCCCTCCAATTTCTGGACCAGGTGGCGGTGTGTGTGTGTGTGGGGGGGGGGGGGGAGGAGAGAGAAGGGGAGGGGCGGGGAAGATGCGCGCGCAGCGATGACGTCTTCAGGTTGCGACGCGAGCGAGGGGAGGAGGGAGAGAGCGCGCGCGCGCGCGAGAGAGAGAGACAGCGAGTGTGTGTGTGTGTGTGTGTGTCAAGCGCGGCGGTGACGTCGCTGCGGCGCGACGGACGGGACGGTCTGTGCTGGAGTCCGGCCCTGTGGGCCTGAAGCGCGAGCGGGGCTCGAGCGCCGAGCGGAGCGGCATTGAGAGGCCCGGGCCAGGCCGCGGACACAGCTCCCCCGCCGCCGCCGCCCCGCCGCCGCCGCCGCCGCTAGCTCTCCTCCTCCATCCCACACACCCAGTCGTCCAGCGGGCTCCAGCCAGCAGCAGCCGCGGCGCCGGCGCCATGACATCGCGGAGGTGAGCAGCCGCGACCCGGAGAGAGAGAGAGAGAGAGAGAAAGAGCCCTCCCTCCCTCCCCCCCCCTCACACGCCACCCGCCCCACAACTGTCACTCACTGTCACTGAACCCCTCCCCACAACTGTCACTCACCGTCACTGAGCCCCTCCCCACAACTGTCACTCACCGTCACTGAGCCCCTCCCCCAACTGTCACTCACCGTCACTGAGCCCCTCCCCACAACTGTCACTCACCGTCACTGAGCCCCTCCCCCAACTGTCACTCACTGTCACTGAACCCCTCCCCACAACTGTCACTCACCGTCACTGAGCCCCTCCCCACAACTGTCATCTCACCGTCACTGAGCCCCGCCCCACAACTGTCACTCACTGTCACTGAACCCCTCCCCACAACTGTCACTCACCGTCACTGAGCCCCTCCCCACAACTGTCACTCACCGTCACTGAGCCCCTCCCCACAACTGTCACTCACTGTCACTGAGCCCCTCCCCACAACTGTCACTCACCGTCACTGAGCCCCTCCCCCAACTGTCACTCACCGTCACTGAGCCCCTCCCCCAACTGTCACTCACCGTCACTGAGCCCCTCCCCACAACTGTCACTCACCGTCACTGAGCCCCTCCCCCAACTGTCACTCACTGTCACAGTCCCTCCCCCAACTGTCACTGAGCCCCTCCCAAAGTGTCACTCAGCCCCTCCCCCAATTGTCACTGAGCCCCTCCCCCAACTGTCACTCACTGTCACTGAGTCCCTCCCCCAACTGTCACTGAGCCCTCCCAACTGTCACTCAGCCCCTCCCCCAACTGTCACTGAGCCCCTCCCCCAACTGTCACTCACTGTCACTGAGCCCCTCCCCCAACTGTCACTCAGTGTCACAGCCCCTCCCCCAACTGTCACAGCCCCTCCCAAAGTGTCAATGAGCCCCTCCCCCAATTGTCACTGAGCCCCTCCCCAACTCACTGAGCCCCTCCCCATCTCACTGAGCCCCGCCCCAACCGCCACAGCCCCTCCCCCAAACCGTTGCCCCCCCCCCCCCCCCGCCGCCTCCCCTCCCCCCCACGTCGGGAGGACGTGTCAAAGCTCTTCCCAGGATTAACTGTAGAAAGTGTAGTGACTGTGCGTTTGTCGGCGAATGCAGCAGCCAATTTGTGCGCAGTGATGTCTTACATGCGACCAGGAAGCGAGTCACCAATTTTAATTGGAGGTTTGCACCGGGAGAAACTCCCTTCTCTTTTCGAATAGTGCTGTGGGAACTTTGCCGTCCACCTGAACAGGCACCGTTAGTGTTTAACCCCTGGGTTTAACGTCCCTTCCAAAGGCAGAAGCAGACCGATCGCTCAGACAGCGTCAGGCTACACCGGGGGCCCAAACCCCCCGACGTGGGGCTTGAACCCGCAAGCGTCTGACTCAAAGGCAAGAGTGCTACCAGCTCAGCCAGGCTGACAACTCCTGCGATACAAGACACAAGTCTGTAAAAAAATTCCGGATCATCATCCCTCTTTGGAGTCCGTCATTAAATTTAATTCCTGGACCTTGGGATTCAGGTGGACACTAGGGACCCCGTTCTCCGCGGCTATTTCAAAGAAAGAGTACGTTTTAATCCCCTTGTCCCGACCTACATTCCTCCCTCATCGCTTTCCGGGGGGTAATAATCCCTCAAAAAAAAACTCAGTCCACAACGGGTGCACAGTCACTCCACTTTACAGTTTAAGGTATTCTGTGAATCGCTTTGAGATGTCTCAATGACATGATAATTGCAAACAGCAATGTCCCACAGTCAGTCGAGGATTGAGTAACCAAACTTTTTATTTGAGAGACGTGGCTGATTGTAGATGTTAGAAATGTTGAAATATATAGGTCTGGTGAACATCTGTCCAGCTCTGTTCCCCTGAACTACCATCCATGGAATGATGGAAATCATTTGGCCCATAAATCTAACAGGAATTATTAGGACAAGCAGAGAGAGATTCAGGTCATGAAACGGTTGTCTATCTGGGGGAAAGCCTTGACCAATTGACAACATTGTAGAGTCTAGTGTTAGATTGGCATATTCTCGTTTTGGAAGCTTCCCTGTGACTATGCAGCATCCTCAGGAGATTAAGCAAACCAGGAACAGTCCCAACCAGGTTTTCTGTACAACTAATACTCAAGACTCCGGCACACGTGCCCAAATCAGCCATGAATTCACAGAGCACTCAATGCAATACAAATTTACATTTACACAGCGCCTTTCACATCGGGAGGATGTCCCAAGGCACTGGAATAATAGCTTGACACCCAACCTGGGAGTTGTAGCTGAACGAGGTGGGAAGGAAAAAGATGACCGAAAGCGCGGTCAAAAGAGATTGGTCTTGAGGCAGATCTTGAACGAGGTGATTCACATTACAATGCAGTTCTACAATTTACTTGCAGTGAAAGTGAAATTCCTTCACTGTGACAATTGTTTGAAAAGATAATAATAAAATTGGTCACTCAATCCACGGTCGTTTATGAGACACTATACACACAATGGCTGCTGAGCTTACCTGCAAAAACAGTCACTACACTTGACGGTAGTTAGTATGAAGCTCGTTTTGACATTTCAGTGTGAGAATGTTCTTTCTTTCATGGCTTCTGCATTAATTTTTCAGATGGTTTCATCCGAATATCACAGGCGTGGAGGCAGAGAATTTACTGCTGACCAGAGGAGTAGATGGAAGTTTTTTGGCGCGGCCCAGTAAAAGCAATCCAGGGGACTTCACCCTCTCAGTCAGGTACGGAAACTAAAGGTAGCGCACGGACCGCTATCCTCAGAGGAAAGTCAGTTAGTGTAGAATCTTAACTTTATCTAACGCCTAATAATAATCCCTCCAAAACCAAAAACAATAATAAATTGGTCATTTTCAATCTACGACTGTTTGTGGGACATTGCTGTGCGCAATTGGCTGCCGCGTTCGCCCACAAATATACAGTCAATTCACTTTACAGTGTGTTCTGTGAAGCGCTTTGGGACGTCCTCCCGACGTGAAAAGCGCTATATCAAATGCAAGGATTATTATTATTATTATTATTTATTGAATCCATAGACATTTTGGCAGCTGACCCGGGGACTGTTTGCAGAGAAACAACAACAAAAACATTTAATATGACTTACTCGAAATCTGAATTGCAGGCAAACTGTATAAGATTTATTTATGTTTTTCTACATATGCCTAACTCGCCACTCAGGGTAACTCGTCACTGAGCCCTTTTCTCTTGGAAAGACGAGTTATCAGCCGTTTGGTGTGGAAGTTTTTTTGTTTCTAGCAGAGATGACGTTTGATTTTTTCTGATCGCTTTTCACCAGTGTAAATCACCATCACAGCTTCTAATTTGAAATATCCAATTATTCTAACCAAAGTAACTGTTTCTTGTCTTCCTTCTTGTGACCAGCTACAGTGGACAACCCACTTCTTTCCTCTCCCCCCCCCCCCCCCCCCCACTCCATCTTCATGTAAACACTAAAAATAAATGGAGTTTCTTCTGGCCAGCGATCCTCCAGGTTAATCGGTTATTTACCTACTGGCTGTTTGTGAAACTTCTGTGTGCAAAATGCAGTACGATACAAACTTACATTTACACAGTGGCTTTCATGTCAGGAGACGACGCAAGGTGACTAACTATAATGACTTGGCACCAGAGCTGAGGTTGGGAGCCGAGTGGGTGGGGGAGAGAAAGATGACAGAAAGCAAGGTCAGAAAATGACTGTGGCACTTGCTGCAAATAGTACAAGGCGCTATAATATTGCATGTTTTTGCTACCAATGTTGTGGTCCACAGTAAGTAACTGTTCCGGTGTCTCTCAGGCGCAGTGGAGCAGTCACACATATCAAGATCCAGAACACGGGTGATTACTATGATTTGTACGGGGGAGAGAAGTTCGCTACCCTGGCTGAGTTGGTGCAGTATTACATGGAGCACCACGGGCAGCTGAAGGAGAAGAATGGGGATGTAATTGAGCTGAAATACCCACTGAACTGTGCTGACCCCACCTCTGAGAGGTAAGCTGAACCCACTGATGTGACCAGATACAATGGGCCTTCATCCCACAGATATCATCGGCTTATCCGTCAGCCTGGCTCAACTGGCAGCCCCTCTCACCTCTTTGAGTCAGAAGGATGTGGGTTCAAGCCCCGCATCGGGACTTAGAACTCTTAGAACTTGCAGTAATTAGGAGTAGTCGATGACAGTCGATTGGCAGATCGCTTTCCAGGGATAATAATCCCTCCTCCCAAAAAAACAGCTGTTTGTGAGACACTGCTGAGCACACTTGGTTGCTGCAAAATACATTGCAGTGTGCCCTCTAAAGCGCTTTGACGTGTCCTCCTGATGTAAAGGCGCTATATAAAATATATTTGATACAGTGCCATATCACGTCATTGAGACGTCTCCAAGCTCCTTACAGAATATACGGTAAAGTGGATTGACTGTGAATTTTGTGGGCGAAATGCGGCATTATTATCATCTTTATTATTATTAATAATATTATTGTTATATTATTATCTGGGTTGACAACGCCACGCAGCTGAGTACATTTCCCTGCTCCTGCAATGTCTTGACAGAGAAGTCGGACCTTTGTGCTAGTTTTTGTTCCTTGTGGGTTGAGGAGAGTGAATTATCCTCTGATATTTCCATTTGCTGCACCAACTGCTCTGGGCTCTGGGGTTGCCAGAATTAGGCTGCCATTTCATTTGCTGAGAACCCTCACTCTCTGATGTTCAGGTTAAGACTTGCAGCAGCAGTTTTGCGTGCTGGGAATGGGAAAGCGTCCATTATAATAACAAGAGGACCCGGGTTCGATTTCCGGAGCAGGGCAAAACCTTAGACAAGTTTCCTTACTCCGCACGCCTCTGTTTACCCAGCAGTAAGTAGGAACCCGGTTGTTAATCGATTGGCCGATGCTCATCCAGGTCTAATAATGCCTCAAAAAAAAATGTGGTCACTCAGTCCATGACTGTACGTGGGACACTTCTGGGTGCAATTGGCTGCAGTGTTTTGCCCACAAAATACACAGTCACTACACTTTACAGTATATTCTGTGAAGGCTTAGAGACATCTGAATGAGATGATAAGGCGCTATATAACAAATGCAAGGATTATTATTATTATGATTGAAATACATAGTTACGACACTTTACAGAAAATGCTGTAAGCGCTTTGAGATGTCCTCTCGACGTGAAAGGTGCTGTATCAAATGGAAGGGTTTATTCACGAGTACCATTCTGCTTCCCGCCCTCTGCAGATGGTTCCATGGACACCTCTCGGGAAAAGAAGCAGAAAAGCTGCTGACGGAGAAAGGAAAGCCAGGAAGCTTCCTGGTGCGGGAGAGCCAGAGCCACCCAGGAGACTTTGTCCTGTCAGTGCGGACCGGAGACGACAAAGGGGAGAGCAGCGAGGGGAAGCCAAAGGTCACACACGTGATGATTCGAAGTCAGGTGGGTGCAGTTTAACGACTGTGTGTGTTACACACACAATCTACAGCTGTAACGTGTCAGTTAGCGTGCTGACCTGGCAAGCGAGAGGACCCGGGTTCGATTCCTGGGCGGTGCGAAATCTGAAGGCAAGTCTTGTCAAGTGGCTGCTGCGTTTCACCCACAAAATACACAGTCAATCCACTTTACAGTACAGCATATCCCCTGAAGCACTTTGAAATTCAGAAGCGAGAGTGCTCTCGACTGAGCCAGGCTGACAAACTATACTATACTAAGTGACACAGCAATTCCAGTGAATTTGCAGCAGTTCCTCTGAACTGATTGCTGCGTTTCGCCCACAAAATACAGTTGTTGCCGACGTGATAAAGTGCAACATCGAATGCACGGATTACGATTACAATTATTATCTCACTGAGCTTGCAGATCAGGCCCGCCTCAACTGAACCAGCCACTTTGATCTGCCTTATGGCTGTTATTTTTGGTTGGGGGGAGGGTGTAACGGAAGGCAGTGCTGGTTGTGATCAGATCAAATGGAAAGAAGACTTAACTGTAGTAGTACTCAGGCTATTATCTGAACAAGAGATCCACAATGTTAGCAGCTTCATTTGATTGATTTCACTTGAAGTGGCCAGGAGTAAATGATCCTTGGTTTATTTGTTCACTGCAGCAATCTTCCCATCCTGTAGAACGTGAGGTGAATGCTGAGTTGGCAATGTGTGTGAGCCTCTGCACTGCGCACACACTGACTGAGTGCCTGGGTCCTGGGTGACTGCTAGCCTGACCTGCCATCATTGTAGCGACGTGCGTTCCCCTAACCCCCAGCCTATTTTAACCCAACATCCAATTACATAATGCTTTTGTACTGTTATTAAGCAAGCAGAGATTAATCCAAGGGATGGCTCTGTGATTGACGTGACCTGTGCTTCGTTGTTTTATTGCAGTGTGATGAGGCTTGGAATATGCCTTGCCTGTTATACTATTACAGCATTATAACTCCCTCTGTCTCTCTCGCTTCATGGCTGTTTGCGAGGACACTGCTGTGCACAATTGACAGCCTTGTTTCGCCCACAAAACACACAGTCACTTTTCTTTACGGTATCGCCTGTGAAGCGCTTTGAGATGTCTCGGCGACGTGATGAAGCGCTGTATCAAATGCAAGGATTATAATAATACTTGCATCTGATATCTTGCCTTTTATATCAGGAGAACATCTTAAAGCACTTCACAGGAATTGCTCTAAATTGCATTTTGTAGGCAAATTTATTTTTGTTCAGGTGGGTGTCTGACCCATGAGGAAACCCATCATCATACTTAAGAGTGTCCAAACCAGACTCCTCTGAGTCTTACCTCTACTGCCTACACATGGAAATTTCCAGGACTGGAATGGAATGTGCGTTCTCACATTGAATGGATGCACCATAATAATAATAATAATAATCCTTGCATTTGATATAGCGCTTTTCACGTCTTCTCGTTGTCTCAAATGATACCTAATACCAGAGGGTATTAATAATAATAATTATTTTGATCCTTGCATTTGATATAGTGCCTTATCACATCATTGAGACGTCACAAAGCTCTTCACAGAATATAACGTGAAGCGAATTGACTATATTTTTAGGGGTGAAACGTGGCAGACAATTGCACATAGCAATTTCCCACAAACAGCCATGGAGTGAGCGAGCAATTTTATTCGGGGTGTTGTTGGCCAAGGCACCCGTTAAAGATCCCACGAAGCGCCGTGGGATCGATAACATCCACCTTAACAGGCAGACGGGAGCTCAGTTTAAGGGCAGCTCAGGTTATGAAGAGCCAAGGCTTCAGAACCCCAGACTTAGCGATTGAGTGACGTTCTTGATTAAACACACGAGTTGATGAATGATTCTCTGCCTTTTTCTCCTGTTCAGGATGCCAAGTACGATGTTGGCGGAGGAGAGAAGTTTGACTCACTGACTGACCTGGTAGAGCACTACAAAAAGAACCCCATGGTGGAGACCCTGGGTACAGTTCTACAGCTGAAACAGGTAACGAGAGCTGCTGACCTGGGACACCACACGTGAGTGTCGTGTCAAAAGTACCAGCTATGCATTGCAGTTTGTCCCTTGGTGCGGGTACACCAGAGCAAATCATACAACAGCCTTGCTCGTTAGTTATTTAATTAGTTATTATTATTAACCATTGGTTGTCAGTCGATTGGCGATCGCTTACCTGGGATAATAATCCCTTCAAAAAAAANTAATAATTTGGTCTCTCAACCCACGACCGTTTGTGGGACACTGCTGTGTGCGATCGTCTGCCACATTCTGCCTTCCCCCCCCCCCNAAAAAAAAATCCAGCCGATTCATTTCATGGTATATTCTGTGTAGCGCTTTGAGACGTCTCAACAACACGATAAGACGCTATATCAAATGCAAGGAATAATAATAATAATAAGGATTAGTAGTAGTAGTAGTAGTTGTAGTATTGCTCAAATCTTGTACTGTTCTGCCACTAGAGGTCGTCAGATGCCACCATAAATAACTTTCTCCACAGCAATTCAATACGGCTGCAACGTATAAGGGCTTTGTACCTGGGTTAGGGGGGAGAGATGATCTGCTCCCCAACAGGGTGTAGTTGGAGAACAAGGGAGAGAAATTAAGGGCTGTATTGGAGTGCTGCTTGCAGCCTCTTCCCCCCTCCGCCCCACCCAACCACCACCACCACCCTTACAGTCTATGGAGTCACTTGGTGGGAGGAGAAAGCGTCTGTACTGCAGTAGACAAATGCAGTCAAGAAAAACTGAAGCAGACTCTCGCCATTGCTGTTGTACATTGTGCAGCGTTGCGGTGTTTAATCGCAGCGTTAAGTGTAAGCACAATGCACGCATTTTTATTATAGCAACGATAACAATCCTTGCATTTGATACAGCGCCTTATCACGTCATTGGGGCGTCTCAAAGCGCTTCACGGCACATACTGTAAAGGGGATTGACTGTATTTTGGTGGCGAAACACAGCAGCCAATTGTGCACAGCAGCGTCCCACAAATAGTCGTGGAGTCAGTGACCAAAATTCTTTTAGTCTAAGCCATGTCTTTAAAAAAAAACTATATTTAAAAAAATTGCTGTGGGCATTGACTGTTTGGCTCAATGGCCCAGTGCAGAATTCTACTTGGATCCCGATTCTCCTCCCATCTGTTGTACTCTCTCTCCATGGCAGTCTGTCCAGTACACGTCCCACTCTCTGTGTGATGCTCTGTTCCTGTAAATCACTGTAGGAACAAAAGCAGCTGAAATTTATTCTTTACGTGCAGTAGAGAGCCCACTGGCTACATTAACTGGGACCTGCCCTGATGCAAATGTATGAAAATGGTGCAGATATTGTGTGTGTGTGTGTCTCTCACTCTTTCTTTTACACTCTCTCTCTCTGCACGTCCTCTCTCTTTCTTACTATCTCTCTTCTCTGCATGCCCCTCTGTCTGACCGTCTGTCTCTCCAGCTCTCTCTCTCTCTGCTTTTCATTCAGCGTTCACCCCCCCCATGTGAAAGCACTACATGAATGTAATTTTGTATTGTATTCTTTCTTTCTCTCTCACTCTATTTCTACGTTCCCCTCTGCTGGGCTGTGGGGGGGTGGGGGGTGTCAATGCATCTCTGGGGGTTTGTCTGACATATAGATAATCGGCTTTCAACTGTGTAAAATTGAAGAAGGCAGAAAACTGAGCGCAGTGGAGAGAGGGAGGATTTTGTGTTTTGATCAGTTGTGTACGTCAATCACAGTCCTTTGGTTATACAGACAGGCCTGTGGTTGCCTTGTGCCAAGGCCTTGGTTGGAATCTGTTTTGGCTTCGGCTCAACTGACTCTTGTCTTCTCTCTTGCCCTCTCTCTATCTTACCATCTCACTTATCTGCATGCCCCTGGTTTAACCCGGTTACTCCCCAATCCACTGTTTCCGCTGCTCGGCTGCCTCCAGCCTCCTGTTTGTCCCTCGTGCCCTCCGTTCCACCATCGGCGGCTGAGCTTTCAGCCACTACGACCCGAAACTCTGGAAAACTCTTCCTCTATCCCTCTGCCTTGTTCTCTCCTTCCCCATCTTCAGATCATGCCCGAAGACCTTCCTCTTCGACCGTGCTTACGGTCACCTCCCCCAGGCTCGGTGTCCTGCTCCGTCACTGTCAAGCGCTCTGCGACGCTGCCGTATGTGAGAGGGGCTATTATAAATTCAAGTTGTTGTTGTTTTCTGCCACAGCCACTAAACACAACGCGGATCAATGCAGCGGAGATCGAGAGCCGGGTGAGGGAGCTGAGCAAACCAGCCGAGACTATGGACAAGGTGAAACAGGGATTCTGGGAGGAGTTTGAGGTAAGTGTTTGTTATTACGTAGACCAGGGTTGGTCCAGCCTTTTTGGGTGCTGAGGACCGGATGCCCTATTTGAGAAACATCTGTGAGCCGCACAAGCAATATTTTTGTGTTTCCCTCCAGAAACATAACATAACAATATTTACGCAACTCTTTTTTCACGTCTGTCGGACGTCTCAAAGTGCTCAACGCTGCCGACTGGGCACTTGAGCTGGGAACCCGACCAGAGGAGATAATAAAATAAACTGAGTTTAAATTGTTCACTTAGCAGCAGAGGGTAACGGTCCAGAGAAAGAACCTTGGTCTTTTTTGGACCAAAGTCCTATCTGGTTCGCCTTCTACCATCATGGTAGTCGCAGGCTAGAAAATAGAGATGTTGATAGCAATTAATTCTGTATTGATTTGTGTACCAGCAAAGTGGGAACCTTATATCCAACTGTGTACCTAGATCCAAAACAGTACCTTACAGTGTTCTGTGTTTGACAAGACAATGCGATTTAAATTTAGATTTATATAACGCCTTTCACATCAGGAGGATATCTCAAAGAGGAAGGATGTAAATCACGCAGTGGTTATCAGAAACGCAGAGGGCTTTTTAAACTATATCAAGTTGAGCTCACGGACTAAGCTGATGCTCCAGTGCAGTGCTGGAGGAGTGCTGCATTGTCGGTGATGCCTTTGTTTTGGATGAGACATTAAAACTGTCACGATAAAGCTGCAGAAATGCACTTTCTTTTTCTTCTCCGTTCTTCTGGGGGATGGAGATATTGTGAGCTGAGTTATATTTAGGTTGCTGGTCGCTGATGTCTGACCTCCTTCTGTTACAGACCCTCCAGCAGCAGGAGTGTAAACTGCTTTACAGCCGGAAAGACGGACAAAAACAAGAGAACAAAAACAAGAATCGCTACAAGAACATCCTGCCTTGTAAGTAGGATGTCCTACGCTGGCAAAGCCACAGCCTTGAGTTCTGTCTCACTCCGTGCCCACCTCCACTCCCCCCAGACTGCCCTGCTATATTGTGGAGTACCGTGGTGTAGCAGTTAGAACGCGAGGCAAGTTTCCTTACGCCACACGCCTCTGTTTACCAGCAGTAAGTAGGAAACCGGTTGTTAGTTGATCCTGTGGAGTAAGGAAAAATCGAACCTGTGTCCTCCCGCTTGCGAGGCGAGTGCTCTAATCAATACGCTACAGGGCTCCACAGTAATAGGTAGTGGTTTGTTAATAAGGGATCCAACTGGGGAGTTCTGGAAACTGGACGTGTTAGTCTGGCCTGCTCGAGCTCAGACTTCCAGGTTACTCTGGTTAAATAGCCACAGGTCAGCCCAGTGCCTATCTGCGCCGAGTTCCAGTGCTGTGAGTGACGATAATCCTTGCATTTGGTAAAGAACCTTATCAAGCCGTAAGGACGGACTTCTCAAAGCACTTCACTGTGAAATGTGATATTTGTAGCCCAGATTATGCACAGCAATGTCCCACGCAAAAGAGAGAAAACGAGAGAGAGAGAGAGAATGAGATGACGGTGGTTTTCTCTCCCCCAGTTGATCACACTCGGGTGGTTTTGGACGACGGTGACATGAATGAGCCCGGCTCCGATTACATCAACGCCAATTTCATTCTGGTAAGTGAGCCCCCGAGGCTCGATGTTACTTTTGTGGGAAATGCTAAAAGGTGGAGTGGTTTCAAGCTCAGGGACCTTACCCTGTGTGAGGGGCAATATATAAACATGAGTTGTTGTTGCCTCATAAATCCCAGAGGGTGAAGCTTCCGTCTCAAGCACTGGGTTCCCCTGAGTCCATTCACTGAGCGCATGCAGCCTGACATTTCCACTGATTTCTCTCTCCCATCTTTGCCCGTAGTGAGGTGGCTCCCCCGCAGAACAACCTCACTACAACAACAACAACAAATGGCATTTACACAGCGCCTTTCACGTCAGGAGGTCCCAAGGCGCTGGACAGTCAGGGATTTGGACCCGAACTGGAGTTTGGGATCAGGAGAGGCGGAGGATGGGAATAAGAGGGCACGGTCGAAGAGGAGGGTCTTGAGACGGGCCTTGAAGGAGGCGAGGGAGGGAGCGAGGCAGAGGGACTGAGGGATGAAGTTCCAAAGGGTGGTGGCAGAGAGGCTGAAGGCCTGACCGCTGACGGTGGACCGGGCCAGGCTGGGGATAAGGAGCAGGCAGGAGCCCCCTGAGTGGAGGAAGCGGACAGTCTATATGAAGTTAGCAGGTCACGGAATTAGGGCCACTCACAGCAGATCAGAGACCGCAACTGACTGTTGCAGACGGCTCTGTATGGCTTATTATAGCTCTCTTGTGTGGCATCACCCCCTGTCTAGTTCCGTGTTCAGACGCCTTCTGTGGCTGTAAAGAGTGATGGTGATCTGCCGAAGAGAAAGCTTTCTGGAGGAGTTTTCCCTGCTGAGTGTGAAGGCAGAAGGAGCTGGAGTAATGCACAGCATTAAAATGACACGATTGTTCTCTACTGTGTATGTGAAATACCAGGCAGGCAGGTCGATAACTCCTCCACTGCCAGCTTCCCCAGAGATGTTTCCTGAGTTTCACAAAAGATATTTCGAATAAAATATCAGCCTGGCTCAGTCGGCAGCACTCTCACCATTGAGTCAGAAGGTTGCCGGTTCAGGTCCCACGTCGGGACTTTGAGCTCATGCAGTCCTAGTGGGAGTGCTGCATTGTCAGAGGTGCCATCCTTCGAATGAGACATTAAACCAAAGCCCCATCTGCCTGTTCAAGCGGATGTTAAAGATCCTGTGGCGCTATTCCAACAGAAAAGGTTGTTTCTCCCTGTGCCCTGTAAAACATTGTGAAATGCTGTGAGACGTTTTTAGAAGATGTGATAAGGCACTATATCACATGCAAGGATTGTTATTGTCTTTTTACTTGAAGTTATATAGCGTGTTTCATGAGGAAACAGAATGCAAGATATGATTGATTCGAAATGATGTGAATTTTAAGTAGGCAGCTAATCTGCACCAGTCACATCGATAACACCACGCATGCCAATTCTTTTGAAATTTGGGTGTAAACGTGGATTAAGAGGGGAATATAATTGATTTACAACTGACAGCAGTATGTGGAAGCCAGATTGCCTCAGCTTTGAACGTTGTGTAAACCAGGAGGGTGTTAAACAGTTTCCAGTTATAAAGCACCTTTCACGTAAAAGAACATCTCGAAGTGCCTCACAAAACATAGCTGTGAACACCAACCGAGCAGGGAAAGACTTCTGCGATTTGATCGAAGGCACAGTAATAATAATAATAATAATAATCCTTGCATTTGATATAGGCCTTATCACGGCATTGAGACATCTCAAAGCGGTTCACAGAATACAGTGTAAAGTCGATTGGCTGTGTATCTTGTGGGCGAAACGACAGACAACGAGATGTGGTTGTTTTTAAGAGATGTTGAAGGCAGAGAGAAAGGGAGGGAGAGAGAGAGGAGGAGAGGAGAGAGGCAGAGAGTAGGTGTGTAGGTGGGATACATGGAATTCTCAGTTTGGTTCGGATATTCTAAGCCTGGTGATGGGTTTCCGCACGTGGCAGACACCTGCCGAAAAAGGGAAGCCACTTCGTAGGATGAAGAAGCCAATGTGCTTATTGACAAACAAAAAACATTTCGAAGCTAATTGTAGACCTGCGGCTCTTTCAGATGCTGATCGAACTGCCCTGTGTTCTGCCTCTTTATTCCCCACTCCGTTTACTGAGACAGAGCCTCTCGCTAAACCTCTGGTTACTGTCCCCTCGTCCTCTGTTAGACTCAGCACGAAGTGGAAACGAATCGGACCCCATCGAAGCCCAAGAAGAAGTACATTGCCACCCAGGGCTGCCTGCAGAACACAGTCAACGACTTCTGGAGAATGGTCTTCCAGGAGAATTCCAGGGTAATCGTCATGACGACAAAAGAGGTGGAACGGGGGAAGGTACGTTTCTTTTCTGGAGAGGGGGTTGGGGGGGTTTATTGTGGGCGGTTGGGAGACTGGGATTCATCAGACCTGTGTCTCACTGTTCCTGACTGAGCTCTCTATTTTTGCACCTGAATTGGTGGACGTGTAAAGTTCAGATCAATCAAATAGCACCCGCGTGGAGTCTGTAGATTAATAGTTAGAGCACTCGCCTCGCAAGCAGCAGGACCCAGGTTTGATTCCTGGGTATCAAACCCGGGTCCTCTCTCTTGCAAGGCGAGGCAAAACCTTCGGCCAGTTTCCTTACTCCACTCGCCTCTGTTTACCTAGCAGTAAGTAGAAACCTGGTTGTTAGTTGATTGGCGGATCGCTTTTCCGGGGGTAATAATTCCATCAAGAAAAAAGATAATTTGGTCACTCAGTCTATGACTGTTTGTGGGACACTGCTGTGCGCAATTGACTGCCGCGTTTCGCCCACAAATCACAGTCAATGCACATTACAGTATAGCCTGTGAAGCGCTTTGAGACGTCTCAACGACATAAGGAGCTGTATCAAATACAAGTATTATTATAATAAGTAGGACAAGGTCAGTCCGCACCAAAGGAGGAAACTGAGTTAAAGTTTATTGGTGCCTAAAAGATTTTCCTATTTCCCCACAAAGTGCTGATTGACTGGCCTGCTGTGCGCTTGCTACTGGAGCTTTCTGCTTTAATATAAGAAGCTTGTTGTTACATATGTTGTAAGGAAGTCTGCCAGAGCTCGGGGCGTGTTGTCATTGCTTTGTAATGTTCTCTTGTGCTGTAAAGGTTGCTCCTTTTATTGCTGATGAGTGAGTGGCACAGTGATTTATAATTTACATTGCAGCTCCCACTGCAAGACCAAACAGATTGGTGATTCTTCCACCTCCCGGTGCTGTGCTACCTTGCCCAGGGTTGGTGACTGCAGCATTGCCTTACAGTAAACTGCGACATCACGTCACAAATGAATTGGTTCTAAATTAGAACTAAAAATAGATGTCGGGGAGCAAGATTGAACCTTCACTGTGTTGCTGCTGAAATCTCCAGAAACAACCTTGTCCTTTATAGTTGGTCGAACCCAGTAGGGAAAGATTACCTTTTTCCCTGCGCATAAAGCAGCAGGGCAGCTCTTTCCTCCCCGCCCCCCCCACCCCCCCCGCCATAACATTCCCTTTAATTAATATGTTTAACATCTTATATTAACATGTTAAGACGTATTAACTAAAGGCAAAACAAAGAAACATGTTAATTAACCGTATTAATTAAAGGGAATGCAACTTCTCAGAGCATTGTTAAGCGTTCCGAGACGCTGCCCTGCATGAAGGCCGCTATGTAAATGCAACTTGTTATTGTTCTAATACGTTCAACCTCTTACCTCTATCCTCTCTGCCCTCCACCGCTCCTGATCCCAACCTACAGCTTGGGTCCAAATCCCTGACTGTCCAGCGCCTTGGGACGTCCTCCCCACGTGAAAGGCGCTGCACAAATGTAATTTGTTGTTGTTGCTGTTTAATTGTGGGTGGGGCGGGGAGGGGTGAAGTTTTTCTGCATCCTGTGCCTGCATTAAATAAGAGAGTGTTGGGTGAGCTAAAAAGTTCGTACAGTGAATCTCTTAGATTTATACCTGCCAAGTTTTGCGCTCGCTTCTTAACACGAATATTTCATCCGTATCAGAGCAAATGTGTGAAGTACTGGCCAGAGGAGATGTCTTTGAAGGAATACGGAGGAATGCGTGTCAGAAATGTTCGAGAAAACCCAGCTCACGACTACATCTTGAGGGAACTCAAACTATCAAAAGTGGGCCAGGTAAGTAACAGCTTATATGTATGTATGTGTGTGTGTGTTTCCCCCTTTGCGTCAGCCTGGCTCAGTCGGTAGCACTCGTGAGTCAGGACCTGGAATCACATAGTCGAAGCTGATGCTCCAGTTAAGTGCTGGGGGTGTGTTGCATTATCCGAGGTGCTGTTCTTCGGATGAGACATTGAACTGAGGTGGACGTTAAAGATCCCGCTGTGCTATTCGAAAATAGAAGGGAGTTTCTCTCTCCCGGTATCCTGGCCAACAATTCCCCCAAATAAAATTGGTCACTCACTCCATGGCTGTTTGTGGGACGTTGCTGTGCGCAAATTGGCCACCCACAAAACACACAGTCCGTATATGACGTGAAGTGGGTTGGGGCATCCTGCTGGTGTAAAAGCCTCTGTACCAAATGCAAGAATTATATATTCAGCACCTTGAGCCTGTTTCGCAATTCTATTAGATCATGGCTGATCTGTACCTCAACTCCAATCACGTGCCTTTGCCCCATATCCCTTGATACCCTGACCTAACAACATCTACCCATCTCATTATCAGACTTGTATATTATCAGACTTCTGTATTATTAGACTTGTATATTATTAGACTTGTATGGAAGGCAGAATGATTGTCGGAGCTCTGATTTCCGTAACCAATCTCTGTTCTAGGGGAACATGGAGAGGACGGTGTGGCAGTATCACTTTAAGAGCTGGCCAGATCACGGCGTTCCCAGTGACCCGGGGGGCGTGTTGGATTTCCTGGAAGAAGTCAACCTTAAACAGGAGAGCATCGCAGAGGCCGGGCCTGTTGTTGTTCACTGCAGGTACATAGCGAAGCGGGTGTGGGTCTGGGGGGTGAGTGGGGGGGGAAGGTGGTGGAGTGACTGGGACGTTGAACGAATTCCAAGTCTTTGCAGGTTTTTTTTTGTTTGTCAATAGTCGTGTCTCTGAGGGACTGGAGAATTAATTTTCTTGTGAAGTTTAGCTTATTATTGATGGACCGCTCCTGGGTAAATCCACACCAGACGTTGGTGAATTTACAATGAAAACTTTGTTTGAGGTGCGAGGAGGGAAGCTAAGCTGTCTCTCTTGTCTCTGGGACCTGGGTATCAATCCAACCCAAGCTGGTGATCTGAAAATCTCCCTCAGGATTGGGTCCCAGGGCAGGTTTTAGGGCACGTTCCACCCAGTTCACTGTGGGTTGAGGGTGTTTTCTTGAAGAGGGGTTGGGCTTACTTCTAGATTGTGTGTCAGCCTGGCTCAGTAGCGCATCTCTGAGTCAGAAGTTTGTGGGTTCAAGGCCCCACGTCGGGAGAGGCTGAAGGCCCGACTGGCGATGGTGGAGAGGGCAGGGTGGGGGGACGTGGAGCAGAGTGGAGCCCACAGAGTGGAGGGAGCGGACAGGTTGGTAAAGCTTTAGAAGGTCACAGTGGCTGTGAGGATTAAGTCCATGGAGGGCTTTAATGGTGAGTGTTTGTCTCTTGCCATTCCCTGGGAGTTAGCATTGGGTTCCTGCCCCAGTTCGCCAGCTCGTGCCGGGGTTAATCTCTTATGTAATAGATCCAATCGGTAATATAATAGAGACAACCTAGAGAATGTTCCTCAAAACTTCTTCAGGGGAAGCAATAATACTGCAGTTCCTGTCACGTGATCTAATTACCTCATCAAGTGAGTAATGACCTTTTTTTTGGGTTGGACATTAATATTGCAAAAGCCACATGTCAAAGAAATAGATAGATGTGACTGAAAAAGAAAGTGAACCTTTTGGTATATACTGTATTATGAATGAGTGAAGACAGTAACTGAATTTAAAGCAGTAACGAGCTCCCCATTTCAAACCATTGGGAGTTATTCTCTGCAGCTTGTGTCCTCTCCCACACCAAGCTCCGTGAACCGATCACTCCGACTCTCGCCCGGCTCCACCGGCTCCCCATCCCCCAGAAGATCGAGTTTAAATCCTCGTCCTCACTTTCAAAGCCCTCTATGGCCTTGCTCTTCCCTACCTCTCCGACCTATTAACACCATATGCCCAATGAAAGGCAAACTAGCTTGCCCAAGAGGACAAGCGAGCTGCTGTGAGGTCTTTGCCAGTTGAATGTGACTCCCCAGGCCCTGTGTGAGTCCAAATTAAACCTGATGAAGCAGAGAAGAGCTTAATTCACCTTGTAAAGCAATTGATGGAGATTCCAGACCCAGGCGTAGAATCTGTGATGCAGCAAAGAAGCAAATATAGATGCCACATACATTAAAAACCACAGTTTTCTAGTTTGTTGGATCCCCTTCTGGTGCCCTGATGATGGTGATAATAATAATAATAATAATAATAATAATAATAAGCCTTGCATTTGATATTGTGCCTTATCACATCATTGAGATGCCTCAAAGCGCATCACAGAATATATTGTAAAGTGAATTGACTGTAGACTTTGTGGGCAAAACGCGGCAGCCAATTGAGCACAGCAGTTTGCGTTGGGTTATTTTTGATGTTTAACCACTTATATCCATGTCGCTTGCTATTGAGAGCACTGTCTACCCTACCTCTGTGACCGCCTCAAAACCCTGTGAACCCTCCCGCTCCCTCCTCTCAGTGGCCACCAGCTCGCAAGTCTTGCTGATGAGCCTGGCTGGACTGGTCAGTCATCAGCAGTGCCCTGGAATACTGTGGACTCGCCTGGATCAGGAACCAGACTGGAGAGACCACCACAGAGGGTGGACTCAATTCTGACATTCGGTTACCAAGCACGTCACCTTGGAAGTCAGCTCAGTGCCAAGAAAATCCACCAAGGAGGATAGAAATTGGGATTGGAGGAGTTAGCAGCAGCATCAGACAGACACTGATGCAGTTCTCTTTATATAGAAGGAATTAATGATCTCGGCATCGCCAGCTTTCAGAGCCGTGCCTATTATCCCCACGTTGACAGGACTTTTGAAGCTGTTGGAGGTTGAATGAGTGGCGCAGTGCTTCAGATGTCTGGAGTTTAGTGCTTACTCTAGGTTCTAGCAGCAATTAAAATTCTGACAGTGCACATCCCTCCCCCCTCCTCCTCCCCCTCCCCAGGGAAGAAACTAAAAAAAATTGCCTCAGTTTAAAAGGGGAAAAACTCAAAACATTGTGACTGACGGGGGCTAACGGGAGTTAAAGATGAAAGCGGGTTTGATTATTTTAATGACTTTTTTTTACAGCAAGGTTCTTCAAAAGAGAATGGAAATCACTGCACAGCTTAAGCTATATAGGTTCCCGAGGATCAAAGATGATGATCTATCACTGTACTATCGCTCGGGGAAGGGAAAGGAAAGAGTGAATTGACTTTTTAAAACCCTGTTCTGGAGTCCGCAATGCAAAGTAGCTGAGGTTAGTTCACTGAGTCTAGTTATTTTGGCTCAGTGGTTAGAGCACTTGCCTCGCAAGCAAGAGATCTGGGTTTGATTCCCGGCAGGGCGAAACCTTGGGCAAGTTTCCTTACTCCACGCGCCTGATAATAATCCCTCAAGAAAATAAATTGGTCACTTCAATCCATGGCTGTTTGTGGGACGCTGCTGTGCGCAGTTGGCTGCCGCGTTTCGCCCACAGTCAATTCACTTTACAGTATATTCTGTGAAGTGCTTTGAGGCGTCTAGAAGACGTGAAACAGCGCTATATCCAATCCAAGGATTATTATTATTATATTTTGCCGTGTAGCATTGGAGTGAGTGTGTGTGTCTGAATGTTAACTGGTTACAGGGGCTGAATCCAGGCCAGTCCCTGTGTGCAATTTACCTGCTCCATATCTTTCCCTTTCTTAAAGTGCCTTTTCTCTTCCTTGTATTTATTCTCTGCTAAAGAGTTGGGGAGTTGACCGCGTGCCAAGTGCAGGGATTTGGAAGCGGACAAATGTTCAGCTCATCTTCTCTTGTGTCCCACTTCAGTAGCTTCTCCGAACCGTTCCGTCGCTGAGCTGAAACGTATCTGGCAGATACTTGGATGCGAGCTAACGAGTGTGAAATCTGTCTCGGGAGCAGAGAAGCCTCGTCAATGCTGATCGTCCAAGCGCACGCTTCCATATTCACCGGCGTGTCAATAAATATTCTGTTTAAAGAGCAAATAAGCGATAAAATAGGATGCAGCTGGAAGTAGCTGTTAATTTCGTTTTTATTACCAAATCTGCCCATCTGGGCATCTGTAAGACAGAAAAGGCTTTATAGCTCACTTGAAGCCAGTTTCAGTAGTCTCTGAACACTGTGGTTAGAAATCTCGCGAGTGGGATTAATATTAAAAACGATGGCAGGTGCAACCTCAATTGAATATGTAATTCCCTGCCGCCACCCTCCCCCCCACCCTTTCTGATGTGGTTATCAAAGTGACGGATGTTTGCGCTGGGAAATGGAACTCTTCCCCTTGTTGCTGTGCATCTGTCAGCTGCGTGCGCTTGCAGAATGAGCTGAGCAGAGTAATGCTGGTCGCACATCATTGCCTGCCCCCTCCCCCCCCCCCCCCCCACCCTGCTCCCACCTCCTCGGAGAAGATCCCTGTTGAATTGTTAATTTTAATCTGCCAGTCTCTGTGACAACCTGCTGATCCAGTGTTAATATTATTAATCCTTGCGTTTGATGCAGCGCCTTATCGTGTCGTCGAGGCGTCTGAAAGCGCTTCACAGAATAGACTGTTAAGCGAGGTGACTGTGTATTTTGTCGGCAAAACGCGGCAGCCAGTTTACGCACAGCAGCGTCCCACAAACAGTCATGGAGTGAGCGACCAGTTTTATTTGGGGGGATTGTTGGCCAGGGCACCGGGAGAGAAAAACTCCCTCCTGTTTTCCAATAGTGCCACGGGATCTTGAGCGTCCATCTGAACAAGCAGATGGGACCTTGGATTAAAGTCTCATCCAAAGAACGGCACCTCCGACAATGCAACACCACCCCCCACCCCCCCGCCACCCCAGCACTGCACTGCTTTGGAGCTTCAGCCTAGACTATGTAATTCTAAGTCGTTGAACTCACAACCTTCTGACTCGGAGGTGAGAGTGCTAGCGCTGAGCCAGGCTGACAAACCGTTGAGTGCGTGTGGAAGGGGTGTCGTTGGACTGAAGTGTGTGTCGAGAAGGGGGTTTGGTTTGAGGGAATAATTACTGATGATCTGTTTCTTCCAAACAGTGCTGGAATCGGACGCACAGGAACATTTATTGTGATTGACATCCTCATTGACATCATCAGAGAGAAGGGTGAGTAGATGTGTATAATACCTACATATATCTGCACTCCAGCTGTCAGTGCTCACTACCTACTACTTGAAATGAAACTGCGGCAGCTGTGATCAGCTTCACAGGTAGAAAGTGATAGCTTCTGTCTGCTCGTGGGAGGAATTGACCGTTTAGGGTAAATGTTCTGTAAAACATTTATAGTGGGAGCTGTTTCAAATGCCCAGTGTACAAATTGTTCTCGTTGGGTTTTGGAGGGAGAGGTGGGGGGAGTTGTATTCGATACAGCGCCTTTCACATCAGGGGGAACGTCTCAAAGTGCATCGCAGAATGTACTGTAATTGGAGGCGACTGACTATGTTTTAGACGAAAGACATGGCTGTGTAAATATCGTCAAGGAGATAAGTGGGTAATGTGGAATCTGCTCTGGAATCCGCATACCGCCTGTCCTCTCCCTCCGCTCAGTGACTCTGGCCTGCTCTGTGCCCTCCGCCTTCAGCCTCTGCCCTCACCCTTTGGAACTCCATCCCACAGTCCCTTCACCTCGCCCTGTCCTTGGCCTCCTTCAAGGCCCATCTCAAGACCCTCCTCTTCGACCACGCTTTTGGTCACCTTCCTACCCCCACCCTCCCTGCCGTCCACCCCTCCTGCTCCCAACCCCATGCTCGGGTCCAAATCCCCGACTGCCCAGCGCTTTGAGATGCTCCTCCCGACGTGAAAGGCAGGCGCTGTGTTAATCTGATTTGTTGTTGTTGCTCTCCAGGTGTGGACTGCGATATTGATGTCCCGAAAAGTATCCAGATGGTGAGGTCGCAACGATCAGGGATGGTGCAGACAGAAGCTCAGTACAGGTTCATTTACATGGCCGTCCAGCATTACATTGAAACACTACAGCGCCGGATCGAGGAAGAGCAGGTACCAGACAGGATGGGGGCTGTGTTACACTCGTCCAGACGGCTCTGAGACCTGGTTTCATTATAATAATCTTGCATTTGATACAGCACCTTTCACGTCGGGAGAATGTCACAGGATTTACTGTAAAGCGTATTTTGTGGGGTAACCCGGAGGCCAATTTCCATACCACAACGTCCCATAAACAGCCAGGATGTGAGTGGCAGGTTTTATCCAGGGGATTATTCCCAAACTCCCCATCTCTTTTCCAATAGCACTGAGGGATCTTTACCATCCACCTGAACAGGCAGACGTTGCCTCGGTTTAATGTCTCCTCCGAAGGACTCTCGGTGATTATAAAGCTTTAACAAATAGCTAATAATCGTTGTATTCTATAAATTGCCCTTCGTTATAGAGCCTCGCCTCCAGGCCGTCATGATTGGAATAGAGACTCCAAAACTGTGCGCAGGACTCCAAATAAAAGCGTTACGTTCAACAACAACAAAAAAACTTTAGCCCAGAGAGGATTAGAACCTCCTCACCACAGATGTATGTAGGAGGAAGTGTTTATGGGGAAGTGCACTGTGCTCAGGGCGGTGTTACATTGGAAGGAAGATTACTATGTTACCCTGACGGCCAAATTAGTTGTTGAGGGTTCACAGTTGCAGCTAATGCCTTGTTCAAGGGTGGCTCAGGAATACTGTAACACACAGCACAGAGGGATTGGGTCTTGGGCTACACCTGCGATGTCAAACCCAGCCCCTGATTTCAATCGTGGAAAATTACAAACTGTCGTGGATTTCAAGCGAGGAAACCACAACTAATAGATGTGTTTTAATAGGGACCTTCCACTTGTTACCAGCAAAGATATCAGACTGTCACCCTCTCACACGTGCGCATTGGAAGGTCACCAGGGTTTGATGATCCAGCTGTGAGCTTCTTGCAGTCGGGCTCATCAGTCGATGATGTGTATCAGCCACTTGTAGATCAATTTGTCTCATATTCTGAGATGTGATGCGGTTTACGCTTGTGTCTTTCTGCTGTGTGCCCTGAGGGTGAGCAAGGTTCGTGTATACGGTGTAACCATGGAATCCTACAGCACAGAAGGAGGCCATTCGGCCCATCGTGCCTGTGCCAGCTCTTTGAAAGAGCTACCCAACTAGTCCCATTCCCCAGCTCTTTCCCCATAACCTTGCAATTTTTTTTCTTTTCAAGTATATTCTTTGGAAATGATATACTTATTGTAAAGAATATAACAGGTTAGCGAAGTGGAGCATCTCAACACCATGATGAGGCGCTATATCAAATGCAACAGTTATTATTATTCAGTGTGAGATTCTGAAACAAGGGGCATATGTTTTTAAGTCAAGCGGGAGGATAAATTAGCGAGCGTGACAATTAAATGTGTTAAAAGTGGCTGGGGGTGAGCTCGTGCAAACGTGTCAATCGTTCCACTTTGTAGAATAAATGTTTCTCTTTTTTACTCTCTTTCAGAAAAGTAAGATAAAAGGCCGGGAGTACACAAACATCAAATATTCCTTAATGGACCCGAGCTGTGGAGGAGATCAGAGTCCGTTACCACCCTGCACCCCCAACGCAACCTGTACAGAGTAAGTGCTGGCTTTTCCTTACCCTTCTCCAAGGGGTTCAAACTGTTCCTGTATTTACTGACACAGAATCTAAAATAATCCTTTCATTTGATACAGTACCTATCACATCAGGAGGGACGTCTCAAAGTGCTTCACAGGAGTTACTGTGAAGTAAATTGTTTATTGCAGTTTTATTTATCTCTTATTTTGTACGTAATTGGTTGCCCACAAAATACACAGTCACTTCACTTTACAATATATTCCGTGAGGCGCTTTGAGACGTCTCAACGACTTGTTGAGGCGCAGCATCAAATGCAAGGATTATTATTGTTACTGCAAAGTGGAGCGCCTGTATTTTGTATGCGAACACAGCGGCCGATTCGCACACAGCAAACGTCCTACAAATAGCCGTGAAGTTTTTGTAAGTGAATCTGAAAGCGTTCTTTTTTCTTCTGCTCCTGTAATGCATTCGCTGTCAAGCTGATCAGTGGGTTTGTGTCTAGTCTCTCGGTGCAACCGAGACATTACAGTCCAATACAAAATAACATTTGTAAAGCCTTTCACTTTGCGATGCAGGAGGCCATTTATCCTGTTCCCTATCAACCCTGTGCTGCTGCTGCTGCTGCTGGGAAGGAACCTTATGTTTAGTTCCTCAACTGCCATCTTCAGGGATGTGCGTCATTGTCACAAGGCTGACCTGATCTATAGATCTCCATCTCCCTCTCCCTCCCCCGCTACCCTCCCAACACCAAAAGCTCAGTCCTTGCCGTCTTCATTACACTGTGTTGTGCAGTGACAAATTGTGCTGTGTGACCCGGAGGGCAGCTAATAAACTGAGCTGTCAGCGCTGAAACAGTGCTCGCAGACCTCAAATTGGAAATCACTGATGTGCATTATTTCAAAGGCTCTTTGTGCGACTGCAAGGCACCTTTATCTGCTACTCCTTGTTGAGGAATCTATTTTATTGCATTCTCACTTGTAGTAGCAACGATAATCCTTTGATATAGCGCCTTATCACATCGTTCAGACGTCTCAAAGAGCTTCACAAGATATACTGTAAAGTGGATTTGTATTAGGTTCAGGTTGGCAAGAGCCAAGGCTTGAGGAGTCCAGAGTGTGCGTTGGGGTAACTGCTGGAGACTAACTCGCTAAAACCGCATAGCTTGCCCAGCTCTAACCATGGTTAAGGCTGAGGGCTCACAATATGTCTGATAGCAGTGGATTCAGAGACTCTTAGCTAGTGTTTTTTGAAGGGAGGAGAAGGAGGGAGGAGGAGGAGTAAGGGTGAGTGACTTTCATCAGTAATGGCCTGGAGCATATTCTGCCCATCAGGTTAGAGATTAGCCCTGACCCTGCTGGTGTCTGAATAGGGGAGATTTCACTGCTGGAGGGGAATACCTGGTTAACGCGCTGTGTCTCCCCGCAGGCTGAAAGACGAGGGAGGCAGAGTGTATGAGAACGTTGGCTTGATGCAGCAGCAGAAAGGCCACAGATGAGACGGCGTGAGTGTTCAGAACAGACAGGTACCTCTTCACTAGCACATTGCCATTTAGTCATTCGCGTCCTGAAGCTGTTGAATATGCATGTGACTGGGATCAGGTTCCAGTCACTGCGAGTCTTACACAGCAGCCTCCGCGACACCAAATAGGGAAACCACCATCACACACAGCACCCACTCACTTCCACTTACTTTCCAGTAAGATCCTGGGCAGGACCCCCGGCTAATTTATTGTCTTCCTTCCTGTCACCTCCTCTTGCTCTCTCTTCACTAAGCCGTTGTCTCAGCTGAGTCAGCTCAAAGCTGGGTCCAATCGCTCTGTGTGACTCGAGTTATAATAATAATCCTTGCATTTGATATAGCGCCTTATCACGTCGTTGAGACGTCTCAAAGCGCTTCACAGAGTGTACTGTAAAGTGGAGCGACTGCGTATTTTATGGGAGAAATACATGTTCCCGCAATCTGCGTGGAAATATGCAAGTTACACCCTTGTGGCGGGGGTGAGGTGGGGGAGAGAAGGAAGGGGAAAGATGGAGGAGAACGGTGGAGAGAGATAGAGAGAAAGAAAGACAAAGAGCAGGGGTTTTCAATCTTATACCTTTGAAGCAAGCAATGTTCTGGCAGAAGTATGGATCTCAAATGTACTGATTTTTAATTGTGGTCTATCTACAGCTTTGTAAAAACTGATTTAATTACAGAGCCCACAGTGAAAACAATGGTGTTAATTGAATGTAAATGGGTTTTAGATTGGCTCATTTTCTATTCACAGACAGGAGTTCAACACATGTCAGCCTCATTTTCCAAGATGTTACTGAAATGGTTCATTTGGACTCATTTCAGAACCCTCCACGCCCTCACCCCACCCCACCCCACTCCACCCCACCCTACCCCACCTCTGGTGACCTCCAGCAAACCGTACCAACCAATTCTCTCAGCAAACACTGAGCGGCTTCGTGTTCCCCCGCCCCGTCCGTCCACTATCACTATGATCGGGCGAGCTTTCAGCCATTCTACCCGTCCCAGAGCCCTCCCCCATTCGAAACCCACCTCAAGCCTTGCTTTCGGTTATTTTATAGACGTCTCGAAGACGTGACGAGGCGCTACATCAGACGCAAGGGTTATTATCCGCATTTTTCCCTCCCCCACACACCCACTCCCCCCACCTCCCCCGGCTCGGGCGCCCAGGCCAGCAGCGTGAAGCGCTTTGGGAAGGTGCTGTGTAAACGTTATAGTGTTGTGTTCTCTCTCTCTTTCTCTCTCTCAGGAACAGTTTGAAGGCGGCCGTGCAAGAAAGGAAAGAGGAAACCACCCTCGAGGTGTGAGTGAAACGAGAAATGACAGTGGAAGGCCTGGCTCTGAGTATCACGTTATTCTCTCTCCCACTCTCTCCCCCCCCACCCTCTCTCTCTTTCTCTCTCTCTCTCTCTCTCTCTCTCCCAGCCCCCTGCTCCTCTCCCTCTCCTCCCTCGGATTAAAGCGAACTGTAACTACCTTCTTTCAAAAGGTGACACTCTGACCAGACAGTGAGGCATCTCTCAAACACCGTACATCAGTCGTCATATCCACAGTCGTCACATTGTCCTCTCAGTACTGACGTGAAACCCCAAGTGCCTTTTCACAGTGGAAGCCTTTCTGCGGTCATTTTTTTTTTGACTTCACGTTAAAATCTCCAGACGAAAACTCGAAAACTCATTTTAATCCTCTTTCGACGCACACTAGTCTCCCGAAACGGCCTGAGATAAAAGTAGAAAACTCTTGATTTTATTGCGAAACTCTTTTACTGCGATTACTATTAATTTTTTTTTCTTTTGGGGTTTGCGTTCAGCAAACATTCGGTTTGATTGAAATACGAATCGCACACGAGCATTAACGTGTTTCATTTCTTCTTCCCGGCTTTCCTCACCTTAAAGCTGCTCATAAATCAAGAGGGATGGCTGGAATTTGCACGCACGACCTCGCCCCTTGCCCTAGAATAAGGCATTGGAAGTGTTAAACCTGTTTAATTTTTTTTTAACAGCTCTGGTCTGTGTAATCAAAATGTACATGGCCTGCAGTCCTGCAGGTGGGGGTGAAAGCTATGTGAGTTTGACTGTGTACTACCCCTGAACGATGTGAAGCTACTGGTTGCATCTCTCTGATCATTTTGTTTCGCATCAAATTTTGTGCCAACCAGTCTGTGGCAGTCTAGTCGGCAGCCTTACTTACCCGATAAACACACAGCTCTGCCTGGCGGGGACGTTCTTAACGTGGTTTGCTGTTTAAAGTGCACTTGCGTTCCTGTCAGCTGCAGTTAAATATGTCGCTCATCTTCACACTCTGAATACAATGTCAACCGTGGGCAAACAAGCTCACGAGACATGAGAAATCAGGGCTCCCTCTCTTGCCATCTCTCTTCTCTCACTCTTTCGCTCTCCCCCCCACCCCCCCTTTGCTTTCTCTCCAGTGAGAGAAGGCTACAGCTCAAGCCCTGTGGCTTGTACAGGACGGGACAATACAAGAAGAATTTCTGGCTCGGACCTTAGGATTGAGGATCAAATCATCCTTTGAAGCAGATTTGAGGAACTAGAGTGAATGGGGAAACTGAGAGGTCATTGACTTTGTCCTTGAGGAAGCAGAGGGTTATGAGGAAAGGTTACACTATAAGGGATGTATTGGGGATGTATTCCCTGTGAGAAGAAGCAATCAATGGGGTATTAACTAGACACTAAACCAGAGCAGCTTTATATGATGCTTATTGACTCTGTCTGTAACCCTCGACAGTCTAGTTCAGTTCAACTACGGACCAGAAAAAGCTCGACAAAGCTTCCCCCAAGCAGAGAATGTAAAGTGAACGGCACACAGTGTCAATTCTGCCTTCAGGCGACAGCATACGGTTAGTGTCAACCACATGCCTAGTTATGGGACAAACTGGCTCTTAATAATGTGGGAGGACAGCTCAGTGAAGCAATTGCTCCAGCCAAACAAGACTGTTAGGGCTCTGTTGATAGGTTTTCTTCCACCGATCCCTGTGGCCAGAGAAATTGGCTCGTTATTGGCTTGTGCCAGCGTCCTCGACTGGTTACAGAGAGAGAGGGAGAGATGGACCTCTCTAAAAAGGAAGTGGTATGTTGAACGCACCAGCAAACGTCTCGAGAGATGATTGTGGGAGGGAAGAGGGATGTGGATGTGTCCGTCACACAGGTGAGCGTCTCAAAATGCTGCACAGTTGGACAGTGGTGGAGGGGGACGGGGGGGGAAGCAAGGGAGTGGTGGGGGGAAGGTAACTGAGTAGGTTTTGAAGTGGGAGTTAAAGATAGATGAGAGGGTGAGATGGAGGGATCAAGGCAGGGAGTCAGCAATTCAGTGCAGAAATGACCCGAAATCTTCTTTCTCTTCTATTCCTCTCCCCCACCGCCTGCCCGCCCGCCCACCAAGTCATTTTTATAGATTTATATTGAAAGGAGCGAATAAACATTAAACCGAGGCCCTCCCTGCCTGTTCAGGTGGATCTTAATGATCCCCTGGCACTATTTTCCATGAGACCATGGGCACCAGCTGCCATAATAGCCCATAACTAATGCTCAAGAGAGTGTTATGGAAATTAATCTCTCTCTCCTTTTTCCTGACTCTCATGGAATCTCCTGCTTTAATCCCTCCTGAGATTGGGAACCGTGAGGACACATTTTCCGTACTCTGCGAAGTGGCTATACATGACTGGTTCAGTAGTCCACAATTGCCATTTTTAACCTGAATTCAATAACTTTTAATGCAACAGTTGCTCCACTGACTGCTCTCACGCACCAACGACAATATTCAGAGAACTTATAGTAATACTTGTATTTGATATACTGCCTTATCACATTGTTGAGACATCTCCAAGCACTTCACAGAATATACTGTAAGGTAAATGTAATGTAATCTTAACGTAAACCATCTGAATAACAGCGCAGTGTCAATATATGTAGCAGTACCTGTAGTGTATTGGTTAGAGCACTCGCCTCGCAAGCGAGAGGACCCGGGTCTGATTCCCGGGCAGAGCGAAACCTTAGGCAAGTTTCCCTACTCCACACGCCTCTGTTTACCTAGCAGTAAGTAGGAACCTGGTTGATAGTCCATTGGCGGATCACTTTCTGGGAGTAATAACCCCTTCAAAATAAAAATCAATAATAATTTGGTCACTCAATCCACGACTGCGTAATTGGCTGCCATGTTTCGCCCACGAAATATACAGTTTACAGTATATTCCGTGAAGTGCTTTGAGACGTCTCAATGATATGATAAGGCGCTATATCAAATGCAAGAATTATTATTATATACAGTGCATTCCTGCTTGCTAGAGAAAGGAACCTGGTGGTAACCCACTGCTTGGAAAGTGACAGGGAGTGGGAGCTTGTATTTACACAGTGATCAGAGGCGTCCTTACAATGAGAGTTTACTCATTATAATTCCGTGCTCGAGTGGCTGTGTGTTTATCTGGGGGTTGATTTGCATTTGGTTTTTTTCAATCACATGACATTTCATATTTGTTATCGTATTTAATTTTTTTTAAAAGAAAAATTCTCTGGAAATACAAGTGTCTATACATAACTGGTTAAATATTTCACAATCGCCATTTTAATGTGAATTCAATAACTGATGCTACAGATCATTTCACTGGCTGACTGCTCTCATGCACCAAATATTGTTCCGATAACTCAATGTAAACCACCTGAATAACAGCACAGTGTCTATATAAATAAAGTGCATTTCTGCTTTTTACTACACATCATGTAACTTCGTTCTGTCAAAGTAGAGACCATCGAAAGGCTAGTTTATGTACAGAAACACAGTAAATGATTTTCTTATATTTATAAAAGTATATATGGGTGGTAGTGTCTTTTTGTTGCTAGCCATGCTGTGATTTTTTTTACTGCTATAAGCCGATAAGAGTATAATCGTATTTGTAACGTATCCGATCTAAAACTAGGAATAAAAGTCATTTTATACAAATCACATTTTATACCAATCTCTTTTTCCCCAGTGCAGTCCAGGTCAGGGAATCTGATACAGTAAAACTCACGCAAGTCGTATCAGTGGGGACCGTAACATTACGCAAAGTCCGAGTTGCGGGCAAACTGTATAAAGTCGTGTAAAATCAATCTGCGCAACAGTCTACACTGCGCATGTGCAATTCAATGCAGCCGGTAAGGGCACATGCTGTGATGGTGTCAAGACTACATCACTAAGTGCATATTTAGTGGCAAAGCGTTGGAATCACCAAACTGTGCCTAATACTGTCCGGAATTAGGTAAACAGGATGCGATCCCTCCAGGGAGAGAGAGTGTGTGCATTCCAATCCAGGTTACACCACTACACTCTACAGATAAATCCTGTAAAATGTTCAGGGCCGTAAAACAGCCTTGAAATAAATGACCACTTTTACCCGTGGGGTTGAGTCGGCCGGGACACTGGGGGAGAGAAAGCTCCCTTCCCTTTTCGAATAGTGCCCCAGGATCTTTAACACCCACCCGAACAGGCAGTCACTTGCGTGGAAGATGTTCATTAAGTGCAAGTTGTTGTACGCGTAACCCTCCCCGAGCAAACTGATCAAACGTGTTTGTGGATGAAATTGTGATCCGTGATACGTTTGTCATCACGTGTCACCGTTTTCCTATTATTGTAGTAAACCGTGATTTTACAATCACGCAAGCAAACAAAAAAAGTAAACGCTTCTGTTTACCCGGTAAAAATCCGGTTGTTAGTTGATTGGGGGATCACTTTCTGGGGTAACAACCCCCTTAAAAAAAAATTGATCGCTCAATCGACAACTGTTTGTGGGACCCTGCTGTGTGCAATTGGCTGCCGGGTTTCGCCCACATAATCCGCTTTACAATATATTCCGTGAAGCGCTTTGAGACGTCTCGACGACACGATAAGGCGCGATGTCAAATTGCAAGGATAATTATTATCATTATTGAAAGGGGAGAGAACCTGCGGCAGAAACCTTCCCCTGACCGGTATGGGCGGGAAGGAATGTGTAGCTGGTTCAGTGAATGTCACAGAGTGCATATTTATTACCTCCCTGACAGACAGACAGACAGATAAGAGAGATAGACACCTTCCTACAGTGGCTGCTGTTCCAACAGAAGCTTACACAAGCCACTTAACAGATCAAAGGGACCTTTACTGCCCACCACGACTAATCAGTCTGATGTTGCTGGAAATACCTGCGCAGTCCTGCAGTGATTACAAGTGTTTAAAACCCCATCGGGGTCCTTGCTCACCGCATTGCAGGCAAAGTGAAGCACAGAGGGTGTCAGGCACAGCTGTAACAAAGATCCCCTTGTCCAGCCCCGCAGCTCAGCG